TTTACATAGATAGAGCATATTACTGGTTACATCTCCGTACTGTTCGGAATTTTTATTTGTGTCAACCAGATCAACCTGCTGTGAATAATTTTGCCCACATTGTAAACGTCATTACTCCATGGCAGGAGAGGGTCGTACACAGTAGTCTCTATCTCTGGTCTCACAGATACTAATGTATTGTGCGGAGGAGATTTTTCTACCAAACTGAATTGGGCAGTAGGATTACATGTATGAAGTATACTGAAAATCAAGATCAGTTGGTGTGCCCGTGCCGTGCGATCAGATTCTGGTAGGTAGACATCTTAAATGGAAATCATCTGGAAAGAACAATATTATTGTTTGTTTTTTACAAATGCCAGGGTGTGTATTTTACAAGACATCTTTCATGGAAACATCATGCAAAACAAACATAATTGGAAACATGCTTATTTATATGTGTACTTAATCATTATCCATGTTATTGGACACATTACTGCATCTCCTTTTTAATATGTCATTCTGAAACATGTCTCATAGGCCATTTAGGCTTGACATTGTAAATGTGTGACACATTAATAAAAGACTTTTCTTCTTCTTTTTTTCTAATCCTAATTTGAGACCCGTGAAGATCCGGGGTAGAATAGGTCTTCAGCAACCCATGCTTGCCACAAAAGGCGACTGAGCTTGTCGTAAGAGGCGACTAACGGGTTAGGGTGGTCAGCCTCGCTGACTTGGTTGACACATGTCATCGGTTCCCAATTAGGTAGATCGATGCTCATGCTGTTGATCACTGGATTGCCTGGTCCAGACGAATCATTTACAGACTGCCACCATATAGCTGGAATATTGCTGGATGAGGCGTAAAACTAGACTCACTCACTCACTCACTCACTAATCCTAATTTGAAACCGATTCCTCAGCTTTACAATATGCATCAGGAAATGTGCGTTTGTATTCGTCCAAGTTAACACAACTTAAACGTCGAGTGTTGTGGTATATGATGAATGCGATGAAATCGCATTGCATAGATGCCCTTAAGTAAATCGTATTGGCTCAGAATATTGAACTTAATTCAAACACGCATTCTCTAAGAATGGGGTTAATATGATGAGAATTTATCGTTTAACGACTATAGGACAGTTGACTGTCAATATTCCTGCCTGGACCAGATAATCTGGTGATTGATATCGCGATCATCGGACAACGTAATTGAGATATGATGGCTACGTCGCCGTGGTCTATTTGTAATAGTTTTGTTGAAAGGCTATGAGAACCAGTTTTTGTGATTAGTTTCCGTCGTATTGTTAGATGTTCAGTGTATTTACAATAGACCAAAATTAATCAAAAGTGATAAAATTTTATCGATCATCGTGCTAATTTGTGACTAACCCTCTCAAATTGAACCCAGAGGGTAGAGTTTCTAGGTCTTATAGTAAGACGAGATGTGCTTGAGTCATGGTATGATTTTTGTATAAAGACAAGATACAACTGGAATACCGGATAATTCTACATTTAAACTGAACAGGAAGCTGTTTTGGGCAGTTTTGTAATTTTTCATCAGTCTGGAACACATTATTTTTTGTAAGCTGTGTAGGGCTTTATTCTTTTCGGGAACACTCCTACGCCTGAAATTGAGGATGTGACGTTTGACTCTCTTGTTATTCTCGTGCGTCACGTCAGGTTTGTGGTAGCTTGTTTCCGCGCTGCAGATGTAACAGTTTTAAAGGGACTATCTTGAGTTATCTTAAGCTTAGATCACTGGCTGGTGTTAATCTCAAAGCCTCAATATCGTTGGGTGAGGAAAAATCAGGACAAGATGTAGAAATATCCTGGTTTGCTTCGGCAGCCATTTCTTTTATGCAGAGTGGTCATTACGTTCAGTTGTACGACATATTTTGTTATTACAATGAACGCTGTTTTAATCTTCGGTTTTCTTCAAAACCAAATATCAACGCTTTGTTACCCTCGAACATGCGCATGTTTTTTTTTCTGTTTCTGAGGTAAATAATCTTGCGTCCAGCATACACTGCATGGGATGTGTGCTGTGTGTGCAAAACATGTGTGCATTTGCATAACGTTTGCTATATCTAATTTAATATTCACACATGCATGCCATGTTTGGAGTGACATTACCGTCAAAGTCAAATGAAAATGAAAAGAGAGAATTGTGTGTGTTCTGAATAACGCTTGCCGTGATATTGCTGGAATATTGCTAAAAGCGGCGTAAAACCATACTCACTCAATCACTCATAAGATAAACAATGAATCGAAAGAAACGTAGTTCTATTTGAAAACCTCATAGTCTTAACATACGACTGCAGATACCAGTTTCCTCAAACCTATAGACGAAGTGTTGAGTATATGCAGGTGGGATTACTTGGTATCATGTCAATGCTTGGCAGGGAATGGATGGATGACGGTTTCCATGTGTCCTTTGCTAAGGGAGGAAATGACTCCTAACAGACACCATGTTCACCAGTGTTTTTTAAGGAAACGAATATGGACATTGCCAAGCGCCCTGAGATAATTGTCCCCGGTCTTAGCTTCCTGATGTGATTCCTCCGATGATATCATCCAGCGTTCTGATGTTAGAGTGAACATTATCTGCCATACACCCCCTCTCATGATCCCCCGCAACGCGTTTTGTAGGTATTATGTTTTATTCCGTCCGCCCGTGCGTCCGTCCGTGCAACTTCGTCTTCTCCGAAGCAGACAAAAACCCTTGATATTTCTTTACCAAACTTGACACAAAGATAGGTCTGGTAATGAACTGGTGCCTTTTGGTAGTTTTCGATTTCTGAATAAAAGTTTTTTGCGTTTCCATGACAAGAAGTTTGTCTTCAACTGAAATTGCTATTGGTGTTGGTGCTCTTTTCCGGAGCAGAACTTTAAAACTGTATACTACATATTCACAAAACTTCACACATAGATAGGTCTGGTGGTGAACGGGTGCCTATTGGTAGTTTTGAATTTTTGAATAAATGTTTGTTGACTTTCCATGGCAACAAGTTTGACTTTAACTGAAAATGGTGTTGGTGCTCCTTTCCGGAGCAGAACATTAAAACCTTTCAATACTCTCCTTCCACTTTGTGGGTATTGAAGAACCAAATGACATAAACCAACAGTACCACTCTATTTCCATGATCACCATTATTGACGTACATCAAACCATAGCAGTACTCATACAAGCATCCTAGCATAGGAATAGTTTACATCTGTATGTTTTCGTTAGATCAATGTGAAGAACAATGTTTATATTGTCTTACAGATCTGGATTTATGTGTATATGATATTTCCAAACCTAGTTGACATATTCATGAAGAGTAGTTTACGAGTATTGCCTGGGATATTGATAACCTTGCCTTCTTGTTGTGTCTTCGTATTGTCAAGGCAGCTCCAGTCCTGCAATGAAACATAGAATCGCTTCCAGATATCGACTGTTACTCGACTGAGCGATTCATGTACAACGTCTCGTATTCTGAACGTTGTGTTTTGGCGTGCAACGTTACCTTTGACAATGGCCCATATCAACTCGATAGGATTAATATGACATTGATGAGGTGGGAGTCGTATACGTCGAGATTCTTACTTCTAATGTAATTGTCCTCCTTTCACACTGGATCAGATTTTGATCTATGATTATTTCATACAGCTGGGGCTTTGTTGCCTTTGGTGGAAATGGCACATTATTGCGTTCTAGCCATGCGAACATGTCGCCTTTCCAGCTTTTGGAAGGTGGTGCTTTGCTGTCTGGATCTTGCACGATGTGATAAGGGTAATTATCCATGACAATAAGTGCTTTTCAGGCAAAGCTGGGACTAACGTATCTTTCACCCACTCCAGAAAGACATTACCATTCATTTCCGTGTGGTAGTCCCTGTTGTCCTTAGCCTTAGCTCTGAAAACCACTTCGCAGCCAGGGAGTGACCACTGACTGGCCTATCCAGCGTGGAGAACAATATATCTCTCGCCCTTTCCAATAGGTACCTTTCTCCCTCCTTACTGGCTGCCCGTTGACGGCTGGCTGTGTGGGAAGCGTTCACCAATTTCGTCCAGAAAGACAGGCTCATATTCCTCCTCACGTTTCTGGTTGGTAGTACGCACATAATGATTTCGCAGACGAACTATGTTTGGTCGTTCACATAATACAGCTATATTCTCGCCAATTATCTTGTTGTACCTATAGCCAAATGTGCATAAACTTTGCCAAAGCGTTTAGTGACTTTTATATCATGTGCTGTTTCGAAATGTTACTGCAATGTTCTAAGGGAAACAACCATGTTCAGAGTGTAGTTTCTCAATTGTTAGTCTGATCTGATTTTTTCAAAGCTGTCGAATTTATGTATGTTACAACCCTTTAATATGTTCCTCGCCTGAGTAATCGCACATGTCGAGTCACGGCGAATTACAATAATTTCAGCATCCGTGAGAGTATACCAAAAGCTTTAGAGACTTTCTTTAGATATCTATTAATGGCACAGAATTATTTTCCCCTCCCTGCTTCATACACCTTCACAATCAACCGTTTAACATCGGCTGAGTATCGCATGTTGGTAGTCAAACCTGGCTGTGATGAGTTGCACACGAGGGTATTTAATCATTCATCGTTCTCAATAAACCCACATGGACTGTAACATATGGCAGAGGAATATTTGCCTCGGGCCTTCATGCGCTCTAGTTATCTCCCATTCTGAATCGCATCAAACCTATGTCCCGCCCTGTCTGCGCCGTTATTCATGTCCAGTGCACAACACGTACGTTTGTAGTCTACTGCCTTCGCCCTGTTTACGTGGTTATTCATGTCTAGTGCAAAGCCGTACGCTTCTAGTCTACTGCCTTTGTTGTAATTGTCTTCTCATCACACACTCATTTTGGTTTTAAGCGATGTGTTTTTCCCAAAGCGACATAGTTCAGCGAGATGAAGCTTGTTATCTGATGTTGCTCTTGACAGATTATGTATAAACAGTAATTATACAGTGAAGACAAATTCTTCTATATTCAATGAACAGATACGACAAATGATGGAGCACTACAGCATCAACAGCGGACGAACGAACAGTCTTCACTGGGAGGACTATGTTGTGTTTGGATGTACACTTGCTATCCCAGCCGTTATCGGACTCTACCATGCGATCAAGGACTGGAAGAAAAACAGCCCAACAGAGTTTCTGGTTGGGAACCGTCAAATGGGAACTATTCCTGTAGCTTTGTCAGTGACGGTGTCCTTCTTGTCAGCGTTGACGTTGCTTGGGATGCCCGCCGAAGTCTACAATTACAACACGATGTTCTGGTGGCTTGCTCTCGGTATGATTGTAGCTGTAGGTGGAGCGGCACATCTATTTCTGCCCTGCCTGTACAAACTTGGGGTAACCAGTGTCTATGAGGTAAGATACCCCTCACAATAACCATGTTGTGACATCACCCTGTCATTGTCCCAATAACCGGTTTGGGGGAAATCTTTAGACTGTCCCAGGGAAAATCTACTGCCATCTTGTAAATACTTTCAATTATTCCTTGGTCGTTACGAATTGTAATGATTTTACATTTCATGTTTTGATATCGTTAAAATTACATTAGAACATATAACAAAATGGTTGGCCTTTCTCTTTGGGATTTTTGTTTCTAAAATTATCAAAATCTGAAATATATTTGCGAGCAGCGACGGTTGCTCCATTGTCTTTATGTGAATTAGTCCATCAGTACCCGGTTATCCTTTAAGAATTTCCTCGGGTGATATTTAAGTAAATGATGCAACAGGGGGCCAGTGTAGAGATTTGTGAATAGTCGTTGTTCGGGAGAGTTCACTCCAGCGCACCTCGTTCAGTTAGTTGTTTATGGAATTTATAAACATTCATGGAAAGGCAAACACACTGACTGCACGAGATTTCCCTGCGAGTGAACTACACACGCTCCCAGATTTCATATGTTAGAATTTTTATTCTATTCGGTTTTCAATTTCGCAAATACCAGACGTAAATTTAGAGTTAGGTTAGAAAGTCAATCAGTTGTTAGATATTCATAAATTAGCTTAGACAATCAGTCTATTTATTGTCATGTGAGTGCAATATAATGGTTGGCGGAAGGCAATGCTAAATTATAAGAATAGTTAAGACAACAATCTCCCTCAAAACTAAAGCAGCTGATTGATATACCCGGATTATCACAATGGACAGCAGGCAAAGCACGGAGCATGTGCTTCGCTCTACATACTGAACATTTCATATTAAAAACCGAGCATGTGTACTTTCGCTAACATGGCTGACACATGTCATCGTATCCCAGTTGCGTAGATCGATGGTCATGCTGTTCATCACTATATTGTCTGGTCCAGACTCGATTATTTACAGACGGCCGCTACATAGCTGCGATATTGCTTAGTACGGCGTAAGATTGAAATCACTCTCACTCACCCACTCACACAACACAAACCTCTCTCTCTCACACACACACACAAACACACCCCACACACCAACTATAAAATAACCAGCCATGAATATGTCAATGGTTATAAAGAAGACACTGCTTCAGTATGTTTAGTTAAAGGTCACATGCAACGTAAAACACAACTTTGCAGATTCTGATACCTTTCGGTATGGACATACCGAAACAAATCGTCAAAAATGCAAATTCAACTTATAAAGTTGAAAAATAACGCGATGAAAAAAAACGTGCGAAATCGGAGTTCAAACGTTTCACTAATTTTCCCCAGACTTTTCTGGGGAAAACGGGTTTCAACAGCTGGGCTGCGCTCATAGCACGTGCGCAAGTAAATAGGTTCGCGCAACTTGGAAGTGGGTTGTCGGGTGAATACTCGGTGAAGGCTTTGGTGTGAGCTATTTTTCTAATGTTTTGTTGATATCTCACAGGCGCGAGCTTTTTATATGTTATGACAGTAAATTAACTGTTTATATAATTTCATTTGTCTATTTCACCATACGTTCTTCTTACCGAGACACTTTCTTAATTTTGTTTATATATTTTTTCATAATCAGCAATGCATATTATATGTCATGTAGAAGTGATAATTGTGTTTTAATTATGTTTAATTTTTTGGTTGCATGTGACCTTTAACATATAGACGCAGTGTATTCTTTATTGTTATATTATTCTCTATTTCAATTCCAGTACCTCGAACTGAGATTTGGGAAGCGAGTGAGAATGATGGCTTCTTTTGTCTGGACTTTACAAGTGGTAAAAACCAATGCTGGAGTTTTGCTTGTGTGCATGTACCAAGTGGATATTTGTTAATTAAAGACAACTTTACGATGAATTATTGCTTTGCGTAGGTTCGGTCTTTGTAGTAATGTTCGGGGGCGTTGATTGGTATATTCAGTTGTGATAGTGAGTGAGTGAGTTTAGTTTTACGCCGCACTCAGCAATATTCCAGCTATATGGCGGCGGTCTGTAAATAATCGAGTCTGGACCAGACAATCCAGTGATCAACAGCATGAGCATCGATCTGCGCAATTTGGAACCGATGACATGTGTCAACCAAGTCAGCGAAACTGACCACCCGATCCCGTTAGTCGCCTCTTACGACAAGATAGTCGCCTTTTTATGGCACGCACATGGGTTGCTGAAGACCTATTCTACCCCGGATCTTCACGGGTCTCAGTTGTGATAGAATAGCTCATACTCAAGTCGTAAACATTTATTCTTTGAAACCTTGTACATGCACACTTTAAGAAAACCCAGATTCATTATCACATATGTCATTAGCTAAACGCAATTTAAAGAGATTACATCCTCAGTGATGAAAACTGACATGTAACAGGAACATATACATATATGTATTCCTCAGTCCTGGTTGTGATTTTGACTGCCTTTTGATCTTTGGACATCTTAATTACGACAATTGTGTATAATATTACCACGCATCAGATGATAGAACTTGAGACGGTTTGAAGGTTCAACAAATGTGTTTAACCTTACAGTGAAACTTTTAATTAAACAATCTCATTAAACTCTGATTGTTCACAGATGACCCCAGGTGAGGTTAACCATGATTAAACCTTGACAACACAATCAAAATGAAGTAGGCTTGCTGTACTGGCCAATGAGATGTAGATTTCTAAGTCGCTTCATCAACCTCGTTTCGGAAACGGGGATATTACCAGAAAAGGAACCGTTATACAACTCAGACACATGTAATGAGCTGCATGTTGATTTACGCCGCACTCAATAAAATTGCTCGTATGTATGTTTATACAAGACGATCTATTTTCAGCTGGCTTACATGGCCTTTGTTCTTTTCGCTCCCTCGCTGGTGCTATATTCAGGTAATGACGTATTGTCTTTATCGACTATTACAAATTGTTATTGCAGTGATTTTATTAGTCTATTTATGTATCTCAAAATTGTCATAATGTACGAATGGAAAAGAGTATCGCAATACCTCATATTTTCATACATGTGGTATCAATAATTATGCTACCATTAACAAAAAACCCGAACTTATACAGACCTCAACTTAATTTACTACCTAAATAAACTAACCACCAAGGAATGACAAATATCAAATCTAAACGCAACAAAATCGAAAAACAAGTTTGTCAGAGAAACTTGTAAATCATAGCTGTTGCGATATTTTTTCTATGTTAAGAAGCGTTCAATAGTCATATTTATATCTTAAACATTAAGCACTTAAAGGATTTCAAAATTTACATATAACATTTAAGCATGTTGTTCTATGTTAGAAGGTCTTGTCCTTGCTTCATTAATATTTTTTTAAGCACAACCTTGTCTAACTATAAGTCGAAACATGAGATTGTTATTACATCCTCGTATACCTATGTGATCTGATGTCTGATGAGGCTTGTGGCCACAGGGTAATGTGCTACTGTATGAGACGCCACTATCAGGCATGTAACATATGTTTTTTACACAGTATTCAGTCAGTAAATATTGGTCGCCTGGAGTGCCGTAAGGGGGCGGTGGGGTAGCCTAGTGGTTAAAACGTTCGCTCGTCACGCCGAAGACCCGGGTTCGATTCCCCACATGGGTACAATGTGTTAAGCCCATTTCTGGTGTCCCCCCGCCGTGATATTGCTGGAATATTGCTAAAAGCGGCGTAAAACCAACCTCACTCACTCACTCACTGGAGTGCCGTAAAGCTTTTGTAATTGTTTGGCTTTCCTGTATTGTTTACGGCTTTACTTCATGTAAATTAAATGAAACATTCCATGCCTGTATCAGTGATTGCGTTGCACCTATTGTTGAATGCCTCCACTGTTTGGGATCACAACCTATTCGTGATGAAAATACGTACATGAGATACATTAGTTTTGTTTCAGTTACTGGTCTGGACTTGTGGTTGTCTATTTCCACTGTGGGGATCGTCGTGACCTTCTACACAGCGCTAGTAGGGTTTATTAATAAGCGAATCAATGGAACATAGGTGGATGGATAGATACCTGAAAACCAATTCGCAGTTTGTTGTAGCTTGATAAAATAGTAAAATTTATCATGTGACCAATGAAACAACTACCGGTTTCTGTATGTGTCCAAACCTGTATCGTGCCAACAATGAGCTATGCAGACATACGAAGTCAAATTCACTCATCAACATATTGTTAGTCAAACGTGATTCCTAGTATCACTCACCAAGGGAGCAAGGTATCAGCATTGTTGTCCTCCAAGACTGATTTTCCCTTTTCGGAAACATAATCCTTGTCTGTAGAGATCTGAATCTTGTTTGCGGGTCTAGATAATGTACCTTCTAATGTGTACAATTCACGTGAGTTTGCTATCACACTGGAACCCACAAGATTGATATACGGTGCTTAGCAATAATTCAGTCTGGTTTCTTTTCAAGAAAATATTTGTGCATTCATTTTAGGGTGGTATGAAGACAGTTTTATGGACGGACAGTCTGCAGACAGTCATCATTATTACTGGACTCATTTCTCTGCTGGTTCAGGGATCCCTGGCTGTAGGGGGATTCACAAAGGCCTGGGAAATCGCGAAAGAGAGGGGGCGCCTACTGTTCTTTGAGTGAGGAAAAGGACTATAAATCAGTAAACTTGTCCAAACCTTTGTCCAACAGGATAATGCTCACCAACATAAAGCTCGCATGTCAATGAATTTTCAGAGGTCTGGATACACTAAGGAACAGATCTAGATAACATGACTTACCCAATGCCTATATGTTTGAAACAATATTAGCCCTAAAAGTAACCTAAGGGTATCGTGACGAAATGGAACCCCTTCGCGGCATATTTTCAGAATTATCGTATCCCTAAGATTATATTATATTCATAAGAAATGGAGGCATTCTTTGAATACCTATTAAATAATGTGCTGTACATTGAAAACCTGACATTTTTGTGTTAAAGTTTGTGTTTCATATCCAACCTTCGAGCACACGAAGAAGACATTAAATATTTCACACCAGAAATATTGATATTTGCGATACCTATCCTAATAATGTAACTATGGAGTTGGTAACCTAAACTGTAATTTCTTATTCTAAAAAAGCCTCAAAGCATTGTGACGTCATCAGCTTTAAGACATCATAGCTTTGTGATGTCATCAACGCTGTGACGCCATTGCATTGTCAGCTTTGATGTCAAAGCATTGTGAGGGCATTATGACGATGTGATAGCATTATGACAGTTCAATTGCTGCGATATCTACAATGTAGATATCGCTTGTAGATATCCCTTGATCTCATACAAGCGATATCTACTATTTGAGCCAGTTTTGGATGATAGATAGTTTTCCCATCAGCATACTGACATAGTTTGCGTCCACTCATCTACACACTTCACCTTTATAAGCAATTTTACGAGTAAACAATGTTTGGGATAAATCCAGTTCGTATAGATCGTTCCGGAAATCCAGTGTAGGTCAAACTATTCAGATACAATCTGATGTTAAACTGAGCTGTTGATACTGTGATATGTAGATTGACTCTGAGACTGTAAGGCTTTCCATTTATGTGTCTGCATTATTTTTCATAAGAAGAATTATTTCAAAGATTGTCTTAAATGAACAGTTGTATTCATCGAACTTCAGTTTCAACCCCAGTCCGGGTGTGCGCCATTCGGTGTGGTCTGTGGCTGTGGGTGGAGGAATCACATGGATGGCAAAATTTGGGATCAATCAAATAGAAATACAGAGACTCATGTCCTGCCCTACCCTCAGGCAGGCGAAAACGTGGGTATAACTGGGAATGTGAACATGGTGATAAAACACTCAGAATGAGTGTACATTCTATTGTCAACTACTACCATGAGAAAGGAATGTTTAGTTGTGATTACCTTGAAATAAGGGAAACTTTACAAATGTGAAAAGTTTCGGTGACACCTAATTAAGAAATGCTCACTAACGATACAACTCTACAGAACGGCATTCCATTCTCAGTTTAGCACAAAGAGGGCACCTACTCAGGCGTTAAATGCATTTGTACTTCAAATTAATGGGGGCAGGGCTTTCATTATTACATATGAATATGCGAGTGTTTGGAAAAGTTAACTTCCGATAAACGTCCATGCTGTCCTCAGGATGGGTTGTAGTGACTTGAACGCTCATTGTTTTGCTAGAAATATTTAAAAATCATAATAATAATAAGATCTGTAAGTCCCCATGGTCCTTAACTTGGTGATCTTCCTTCAGTTGTTGGCGATCTATAGCCAGTTTTTATATTGTATTGTCCAAATAGTGCTATTAGTTTTAACTTTCCACACTAGTTTCAGTTGTAATTGTGATATTCTGGTTGTTTTACTGTCCTTCGTAGACAGGCTTTTATCATATACATATATTCCATTTCCATGTCAAATATGTTCTCGTCACAAAATGGCTGAGATATTGCCGATGTGACGTTACATATTAACTCACTCACTCACTCACTCACTTAATAAGATCAGATAAATATTTCTATACTAATGGTTTTGTCTTGAATTCAGTTCTTCAAGGTAATGAAACTTCTAGCAACAGAATTAATCAGCTTATTCACTGTTCATAAATACTAATTACTTTCAAATAGATTCAAATCATTTTAAACTCTTATATATGCATTTATTATGAACCATTGAATGTACCTTTATAGATATATTCCTATTATTGTCAATTACTTGCCTTTGTGGAAATAATTGCTTCTGTACGTTGTTTGAAGTTAATTGACTGTATTCTGTTATATTTAATGGAGCGGCACTTGCATAGGCCCTTGGCTTATTGTACCAATCCATATTGATGTTATTATTTCATGAATAATTATGTTTATAAAACAAATAAAAAATATACGTTGTGTAACTTAAAAAAGTATTCTTTGTATTACAGAGCCTTGTGGTTGAGTTCTATTGGCCTTGTTCTCATTGTAACAATGTGCACACTGATTGGGGTGCTCATTCACGCTTTGTACAAGGACTGTGACCCACTGACGTTCGGAGATCTAATATCTCGTTCTGATGAGGTGAGCTGTCATAAAACTCCTTGTCCTATAATCTAGATGACCTACGGAATCTTAATAGATGAGTGTTGCTGTTTTTGGTATACATTTATCTGCCTTGATTCATTAGCTGGTACGTGATTCCTGCATGTGTCTGTCCGTTAATTCCTAATGGATTTCACCTATTTTCTGACCTTAATTGTTTGGACCGAGCGCAACACTACTTAATTGGTCAGGGGAGGTGGTTTGGTTGATTGTATGTCCCGAATATGTTGATCGATGTTCATGGGTTATTTGTTTGTGTGGCATTCTAGAAGTTGGTGGTATAGAGATGACAAAACCTTATGGATGATCAACTTCTTTATTTGCACAATGGCTACGTTTGCGGGTAGATTCTTATACCGTTCTCAAGCATATGCTCATGGGTTGTCAGTGAGATGCATTTCAGTATGTTCCAGCTAAAACAGCTAGAACATCGCTGAATGATGCGTCTAAATTTGCAAGTCAATACAATTACTAAAAAGGTATCACTACCTTTTTGGTGGATGCCTCTTTGGGCAAATGGGTTTAATGACTTCGCGTGCTGGTGATAAGTACTATACTACGTAAAATCTCGTAAAGTTTCGTAGAATCTCAAATATGACATGAAGATTTTGTTACTTGACCAGTCAAAATGGCGTCAAAATGACAATAAAGCAATTAATTTGTGTTAGGTTGTAATTATCTTGTGTGCATGCATATGCGTTTGTCTTTACATTTCAGCTGCTTCCACTGTTTGCGATGGACATTTTCGCAGGCATTCCAGCTCTTCCTGGCGTTGTTTTGGCATGTATCTTCAGTGGGAGCCTAAGGTAATGTCGCTTGGATACATACAGCAATATTTGTAGCTGCGGACTGTGTAATTATTGACCTATTTCAAATTGGCCAAAAAATGGAAGGTTTCATTCAATCCTAACAAAACGAAATCAATACAGTTTAGTAGAAAACTAAACAGAAGCATCAAACCTGATTTTACAAGACGTAGAAAATCACAAGCATCTACACTTGACCCTTCAAAAAATCTGTTTCTGGGATGTTCACATAAACTGTATAATTAAGAAAGCTAGTCCATTGATCAACTGCTTACGAAGTTTGAAATATCAACTATTGCGTAAAAATTTGAAATAATCTGTAAATCATCCATCTTACCGAGTTGTGATCACTGCGGCCACACTTGGGATAACTGTACCCAGAAACAGTCCATTTTACTAGAAAACAATCGAATCCATACGCGTTCCGATCGATAAGTGGTGCAGTTCGAGGAACAAGCCAAAACATGATATATGAAGAAACTAACCAAAAACCGTTGAAATAACGTATAAATATTTCTAAGCTGACAACATTTTATATAATGAAAAAAAAATCTCTCGCCACAATATCTCTGTAACCTCTTACCTACAATACCTAATACTAATGATTGTATCCTCAGGGGAAATTTATCAACGCAAACAGTTAAATGTACAACGATGACATAGACCAGATCATTTTCACTTGATACAATAAAACTATGGAATTCCCGAAATTCCTGAAATTCAAAATATTGATAACTAATCTCATTTCAAAAACCTGAAATGTAGACCTAACGACAAAACTATTATCTTTGATCTAAACTATGGATCAAGAATATGCCAAATTATCCATTCTCCCCTCAGGCCCCGTTGTAGTGATTTGAATGCCGATAAGATTGACAGACATAGCATCGACAGTCCCTCGTGTTCATGTGGTCATCCAGTCGAATATGATTACATTATTTCTTCACATTGCAACAATTCACGGAATTAAGACAAAAATCATCTTTCTATGTAAAGGGATTTAGTATCAACAGAGTGCAATGGGGATGTCTATTCATGAGTACATAAATGAAATCTGATCGATTTGATGTCTCACAAATACTTTGATATTAACTGCCAAACAAACACACATATATTCATGCATTATTCTCATCTTGATTGCTTATGAATAAGAATTGCATCATTGTGTCATCTGTTTCGATATTTAATTGTACATGTATTTGCATATGGGACGGCCTTCAAATAAGCTCCTCGATATATCAGCCCTGAGGGAAGCTACCATATAATTCATGAAAAAAGATTACAAAATTAAATTTTAAAAGTTCGAATGAATTAATGCAACGTTGCATTGAATGTTCTCTCCGGCCCTGTACCGGCTGAACATTATTTGAAGCGCGCCCCGTAGAGGTATGTCCCTTAGAGCGCTCTTTACGACTATCCTTCGCACAACTTATGATTGAAATCAGTTCGGCAAACACCGACAACACCGCGTTTGTTCAACTTGACTGTCAGATATTTAACCAAACAACTAACCAATTGCAACCACTCCTAATTGTAGTTGTTCATCTGTATACCATATCCTTCCTTTGTTATAAACAACTGATCTTTTCATTTGTAGTAAATAAAATTTACAAAATCCTTTCAAACTTCAAGTCATGCGATCACATTCTGGTTTCCACAAGTCTCTTGTCAAATGTCTGCATGTAAAGGAGACAAGCTGTGGAAGTCATCTTAACTCAGTTTCTCATATTTCTCAGCACGCTGTCGTCGGGTCTTAACGCCCTTGCTGCAGTCATGCTGGAGGATTACATCCGGCCCTATTGCTGCACCACTATCACCGACTTCCGAGCCACCGTCGTCTCCAAATGTCTAGGTAAGAATAACGATCAATACACAGACGTTCCATTCTGAAAAGCAAATGAGGGCCATTTGGACATTGATTTTATTTTTATGTGTATGTTTTCGGGAGTATAACTCTCAGCGTGTGTGCTTTATCTGAGCGCAATGTTCGTTTAGTCATTCCTCACAACCCTTACGCTTCAATAACATATGGCATGGGCTCCTCTCGGATTAACTAACCAAGTGTTCAAAGTAGTGGTAGTCCGATTAATTGAAATAATCGAAGATAGGTCGTAGTGACTAAACGACCAAGCAATCGATCATAATTTCTCATAATCGAACACAAACAATTCTGGAACACTTGTTTTCATTAACAATATTTTTCACATGGTTGGTTTTGTCTGTTACATTTTGCAAGCACTGCAAGCTCGTTTCAAGTCATGATTGAATTTATCTTAAAGATTCCAAGAAATTTATGCTCCCAACATACTAGTCATCCTTTAAAGATGGGAAATTTTGCCAAATAACCCGGAAAAGAACTACATGTTTTTTCCTTATTTTTATGTGCAATAACAAATTTCATAAATGACTCTAACCAGTTATTTTCGATGTTTGATCGGTAGTAATTAACCAATCATCAATTATGAGATTTGAACCAATTTCCAACACTAGTTGAAAGTACTGTTCAACGTTTCTCATTGACTTTTGCTTCAACATCAACTGATGTGATATGATTTGCTTCAGTGGTTCTGTTTGGAGGGTTAACCTTAGCTTTGGCCAACGTGGTTTCATCTCTGGGAAACATTCTTCAGGTAGGAGGCATACATGTAGCTGACTAGAACACCACAAAGACCAAATTTTGTTACAACATCTGAGATCTTTGTAAATATCTCTACTGTTCCAAATGGTGAATCTCAATATCTGAATTTATGCGGACAATCTGCATGTATTCCTGAAACGTTCTTGATAAGAATTGACACATACATTCTCTAGATGTGCTACTCAATCATGAGCATCCTGGATGGTCCAGTGTTTGGCCTCTTTGTCCTTGGGATGTACTGTCCTTGCACAAATTCTCTTGTAAGTATATATCTGTCTTGTAACGCAGAGAGCAATGCTTTATAGATTGACAAATCGATACCAATACGCCAAGACGGCTTGAAATATCCACAGCTGATATTGATGTCATAATACAATATAGATAGTATCTACATATTTGTTTTTATTTATTTACAAATATATTGTTGATCATTTACGTTTCTAATCAAGGTACATCACAGTGAAAATATGGAGTTGTGTTATGTTTTCGTACGATTCACTGATAACAATTGACACATTGTGTTTCCCTATGCACTTTTTTATCAATACCCGTTTATATGTGCATCAGTGAATTAATGTAATTAAAACCACGGCATATTTAGCGAAAGACAATCCGATCAACACATCGTTAATGCATTAACTGGGAAATACTTAATATAATACAAAGTTAACCAGAAGTAGTCCATTCGCAGTCACACAACAAGGACCCGCAAAATATAATCCTGGTATCATAACTAGTTAATCTCGCTTAGGGGACTATATACACATATTATCCTACCTTCATGTAAAATACTTTAATTTCATTGGTCAATGACGCTTTAACAAGTTTCCGAGTCATCCCCGATTAGCTGTTTTTTAATTCACTATCTACACATATATTTTACTGACTTTCACTGCTTTATTTAAACTATTTTAGACATTGAACCGTTTCCACACTCAACGTAAACGTAATTATGCAGTTTAAACATGTATTTAGCAGTTTTAAGCTTGTCAGAATACATTTTACTGATTTTAAAAATCCAGTCGCGAGGCAGACGCCTACCGGCCCGGCGACACTGCTACAAAGAGGCGTACGTCAAACCGTACTGCCCCGAGAGAAGCATACAATGAGTGAGTGAGCTAAGTTTTACGCCGCACTCAGCATATATTCCAGCTATAAGGCGGCGGAGAAACATACAACTCAAACAGTAAATGTCCACATGCGACATCTCACGGATACTCTACGGTTTACAGTTCACAACATATAAAACTGTTACAGAAACATTAGTAACCAATTTTGAAATAATGACGTGCCATGAAAAATACCACATGTCATGCACTATGTAATATTGTCAAATGTTAATCAAGAGATGATTAGCAAAAAAGGTAATTTGCTTGGAAATGTTAATAGAATATTTTCAGATGGTTGGGATCTGCTTAACCCGAGCGACAACAAACATGGTTTCCTGAACGATTTGATTTGCTTTTTGTCCAGGGCGCAACGGTTGGATTTTTTACTTCCTTTACATTTATGCTATGGATTAGTATGGGTGCGTACCTTAACGGAGTATCAACGCCTTTATCTAGTACTTTCGTCAACGGATGCACCTGGAACATAACAGGCTACAATTATACAGGTCTAGAAATTGCCGACAACATCACCAGTGAAGACAGCCTTGATGTTGACGTAGTAGAAGCAAAGTGAGAGGTGTTTGAGCTTGGTAGTGAAATAACCTTCAGTTAAGTATTATGTTTCTTAAAGGATGATAGCGTGTATGTTTAACGACTTGCTTGGCTTCTTTAAATTTTTGATAAATGCTTCTAGTTATCGATAGCAGTACCGTGAAGATCCGGGTTAGAATTGGTCTTCAGCAACCCATGCTTCTCGTAAGAAGCGACCAACGGGATCGGGTGGTCAGGCTTGCTGACTTTGTTGAAAACATGTCATCGTATCCCAATTGAGTAGATCGATGTTCATGATGCTGATCACTGGATTGTCTGGTCCAGACTCGATTATTTACAGACCGCCGCCATATAGCTGGGATACTGCTGAGTGCGGCGTTAAACACCAAACCAACCAACCAAACCAAAATAGCAGTGTGCACTGATAAACAAGGGTTTCCTCCCTCAACCTGACTGTCAGATATTTAACCATGTCTTTTCAGGGTCTATTTATCAATTTATGATTTGTCGTACCTGAACTACTGTCCCACGGGCATGTTTGTGACCGTCGTCGTCGGGACAGTTGCGAGTCTTGCATCACGTAAGTTCATTGTTCCATGGTGCTTCTGCCTCAAGCATTTGTCAGTGGTTACTGCCAATCCACGTACAAAGTACTACAAAAGTACTAAACAAACCTCGCACTTAAACTTTGTAAAGATTATCATAAAGCCATCACTTTGAAAATTTGCCAGGCGACCATGGCGTTTAGTCTAGTTTCTCACTTTTGGTGCCTGCCGTGGATAAGGCGTCTGTCCGGCAGGTGTTAATTGGTCGCCGGTGGCTTTATACCTATGAAGGTTCGATGATGCTTCACACACTCTGACACACACTCCCTCGCACACAGAGACGTGTATGCACGATACAAATGCATTATCTTCAAACTCTTTACGTCGCGGGTTCGATCCCCGACCGCGTCATACCAAAAGACGTTAAAATATGGTACTTGTTGGTACCTGCCTGGCGCTCGGCATTAATGGGTGCAACAAGGACTGGTCGGCTCGGAGTCAGTATAATGTGTCTGAGTGGGGGGTATTCATGCTTCACTACGGCATGGTATCTCAGTGGGCTAGCACTATAAAACCAGCTTCAGTCTGGGATAGTACAAGCAGCCGCACTTACACATACACACGCATGCACGTCGTCATATGAGCGAAATATTCTCAAGTACGACGTTAAACCCAATTTCACCTCACCTCACCTCCATTTACCTAACCGTTCACCACAATTTGCTTCTAATTTTAAAGGGGATCATAGGGGTAGTTTATTGGTTACCTCGTCCGGGTTCGATTCCGCACTATGTGCGAAGCTCATTTCCGCTGTTCCCCGCTGTAATGAGCCTGGAATATTGCTAAAATCAGCATTAGATTAGACACTACTCTTATTGTAAGGCAAGTGTGAAGTGATATTTCCGTTGACAGGATGGTTCTATCAAGTTGTGTTGATGTATTGTTTTCTAGGATGGTGTGTTCCCGAATCTCCTGTATCAGGTCGGTACAGCCAGCCTGTACTCGATGAACTATGTCCGTGTCTGCCCGAGAAGGTTTTGAAGGTGTTCCGATGCAAAACACAACTAGAACCGGTATATGCATAATTATAATAAGCACGGAAAAAGTATCGCAATGCGATTTATTTTTAACCTCCTTATATACATACTTACATTCAAATCATTATTATGTATGATTATGACCCTTCGGTGGCACCATACAGTCGATTTAGATATGCACGTACTGCTATCAGAGGCAATTTTCACGTGCAATACTTGTACTTGTTGTCAAACAAATAAATTGTTCTTACAGCTCAATAACTTGGAAATCAATTGACTTCGTTATTGATTTGCAAATATGGGGTCTCATTAACTGAAAACTGTTCCATGATGGCAAGTTATTGTTTGGCGGAGAACTGGTATGTCATTGGGGCTATTTATTGCCTGTCTTTCATTTACTATCAGCCGGGTCGCTTGAAAACATCAGCAAACAAATTACGTTAAGACCGTCAGCGTTCAGCTAGAGGGAGTGAGTGAGTTTAGTTTTACGCCGCACTCAGCAATATTCCAGCTATATGTGGGCAGTCTGTAAATAAGTTAGTCTGGACCAGGCAATCCAGTGATCAACAGCATGAGCATCGATATGCGCAATTGGGAACCGATGACATGTGTCAACCAAGTCAGCGAGCCTGACCACCCGATGCCGTTAGTCGCCTCTTACGACAAGCATGGGTTACTGAAGGCTCATTCTAATCCGGACCTTCAGGAGAGCAGCATCGACAACTTTTAGGGAGGACACAGCCTTACCCAGAACCACAAGCCATTTAAATATTTCTTGAATGTCAGTCTATCCAGACAGAAAGTTACATTGAAGTTTGAATACGTTCCTTTGTCACTGGTAATGGTAACATAACACAACGACATTACATATTAGATGTTAATCATATACTATTTTATACATTCATAATGGTTTATTGAAACACATTTTGGAAATATTTGATTCGTAGCGATATTTTACGTATTTTCTGTCTGTACATAATTTATTGGTCATAATATTCACAATATTCCATTTCAAATATGCCTTTTCTTAACCATTATTTGTTTTCATTTTTCCAGCAGGACGAAACGAACGAGGAGATCCCATTCGATATCACTCGAAGAAATCTTGTGTAAGGTCAAGCACACAAACGCCAAATACATGATCTTTGTCGTCTCCTGGTTTGCGGAATATTGTCGACATGAGGATGTGGAGAAGTTTTGTCACTTTGCAAGACTTTGAGCAGATAAAGTTCTAGATATATTGTTGATTGTTTTAATCTGTTTAAAGGCAATAGCGTCCTGGGTCCATGTGTGACGATCCTGGTGGCATAACGCTCTATTGGCAAAATCACACCTATGGAAGACTTTTGACAAAAACCAGTAAAATGAAGCTATTGAAGGAATTTTATCTCAATCTTTACGGTTTATCACCACTATTTCCAAGACACTGCAGTAACAACAATCATGGAAAGAAACTATCAGTTTTAAAAGTCAGGTTTCATACATTTGCTAAATTGGTGCCCAATACATGTTCTGGAACATATAATGATGACGTTTTGTCTAGAGAAAATATGACTACCACGTACGCTCATATTGATATGTTTGTTCTTGTTACTTTAAACGGTTATGTTACTATGTGAAAGTAATTCAGGGGAATGCCTCTGACATATGTTTTACATCATTTGACACCTGTTTATATATCAATACATTAATCAGTAAATACCCTCTTACAATTGTGGCTACATATCATGAAAATATTGTTTGTGTATTTTATGAACTATGGCAACAAATATAAGACAAACAAACCTACGACCACCCATATTATTTTGTGTTTCACATTCCCAAATCTAACATGTGGAGCATACAGCAAGTGCATGGTGCGTGACTAAATGCCATGTGTATATGTGGTAATAACTGTGCATTTCCACTACGTGTGTCAATAAAAACATGTAAGCATAAGATGTGTAAACATACGCAAATAACATGGAAGATTGCATGTTTGTATTATTCTTTTATTATAGGATATTTATTATAGGATGTTTATATAGCGCACATATCCAGGCAACTAGTGCATGCTCAATGCGCTGGTATTATTCAACATTCTAATTCAACTTAGTATGTAACACGAGTTCTGATTGGTCAATGCTATAAATTTCCGACCGTATAATCAGCATATACGGTCGCAATTTGAAAACCGATTCACCGAAACCTTTGAATGTATCCCTACACTATTGGGGTAACGCTGTTTCGCAGGACATTGTCATTTGCAGAAGCCATTGGTCAATTAACTCCCCTATTCAGCTAAAATAGGTGGAATTTGTGTTAAAAAAGACAAAACAGTATCATAAATTTAATTTTAAGTTCAAACAACTTACTTGCAACGGGCTGTTGACCCAACACTGTTAGATCATGAAACAAGGTTTACGACGTCATTATGGAGCGTGACGTCACCTGATATGACGTCATTTGACAACAGAACTGATAATGGCCCGTAGTTGAGGAATCAGCGGGCCGCTCATTTCTGTAACTAGAGGGCGGTTTCATCATAATACCGTCCATTTAATCTATAATACTATGATCTATTCATCATTGTCAAATTTAGTCTGTGTGCACATAATAAACGTGTGTAGATTGAAAAGGGAACTACTTTCTCAGGCGATGGTGTAAGTTGAAGGAGTGATATGATTAACCTTTGACCTAGAGGAACTTTGACCTGGTTTAAATAATGAATTTCTTTCACGAAAAAACAGCGTAAAACGAGTTGAATTAGAATGGGGATGACTGTACTGTGTTTGACGAATTGGGGACGTATACCGGTGGTTATATTTCGGCAAATTTATATTTAAAAAAAATATATATGCATTACATTGTTATTTAAAAACAGAAAATGTCATAACACTAAATTCAAAAGCAAGCAATTCGTTGTTCACATTAAATAGTTACAATTTATGATACAGATCAGCTTCTACACTCATCGTGGAATGGACTTCGAAAAAGCTGTTCATAATGCTGTTAGAGATGTGCCGACATGTCTTCCCCAGAACTGTCTTTTTCATTTTGGCTAAGCTCTTTACATGACTTTTAGTCGTATCCGAAGCTTCTGGGGATTAATTAACAGGTGTGAGCCGAGGACTGTCAAAATATGGACGACGGTCAGCTCACTGTCAAAATTGGGACAAATGGCTAGATCAATTACAGAAGTGTGAAATTTCACTGTCAAAATTTGGACTGTCAAAATCGAGACAAACCCCAGTTCATTTACGTTATATGCAAGGGGTGCGCTTTTGCCCAAATCATCTGACATTACGTCAACGTCACAAAAAGAACAGCAGTAGAATGTTAGATACAATATCTGATGTCAGAAATGTAAAAGTTTGGAGTCTTCGAGTTTCTTCAACTGAATAGGATTAAATTGAAACAGTTGCATTCTTTCACATAAGACACATAACACACAAGTATAGTCTTGCATAAAGAGTTTAATTGCAGAAAACCGATAAAAATGACAGCTGGTGGACTATAACTTGTCAGTGCATAGTTCATGATCTAAAGGTTTCCTTGTAATATTATTTCAGTGGAATATAAGTCTCTGAGGAAGAATAGTATCTCCTGGTAAAGAGCATTGATTGGTCTGACTGACTACCCCGAGGACAGATTGCTGGCCACTCCAGCACAATTTGCATATCATGTGACCAGCCTTTTCCCTCTTTTGTAAACAAATACACTTATTCTAAAATCAGAACATACAGGCCAAATGTGAGCCTTTCGGAGTTATGTGCATTTTGCTTAATCATCTCATAGGTATACAACTATAAGTTTGACAGTGAAGTGCATGACAACATAGGTATACAACTACAAGTGTGACAGTGAAGTGCATGACAACATAGGTATACAACTACAAGTGTGACAGTGAAGTGCAAGACAACATAGGTATACAACTACAAGTGTGACAGTGAAGTGCATGACAACATAGGTATACAACTACAAGTGTGACAGTGAAGTGCATGACAACATAGGTATACAACTACACGTGTGACAGTGAAGTGCATGACAACATAGGTATACAACTACACGTGTGACAGTGAAGTGCATGACAACATAGGTATACAACTACACGTGTGACAGTGAAGTTAATGACAACATAGGTATACAACTATAAGTGTGACAGTGAAGTGCATGACAACATAGGTATACAACTACACGTGTGACATTAAAGTGCATGACAACATAGGTATACAACTACACGTGTGACAGTGAAGTGCATGACAACATAGGTATACAACTACACGTGTGACAGTGAAGTGCATGACAACATAGGTATACAACTACACGTGTGACAGTAAAGTGCATGACAACATAGGTATACAACTACAAGTGTGACAGTGAAGTGCATGACAACATAGACTGACATACAGAAGTTACCGTATCGCTAGCCCTGGTTTAGGGCATCGGTGAAAGCAAGCGGAACCACACAACACATGTAAACAAAGGATAACTATGCAAAAAGGAAATCGTGTACCGCGTAGAAACATAGTGTGTGAGAGTGTGTGCGTGTGCGGAAGTAGATGCCTTAACGCTAGGACACAAACTAGAGCTGCTCAAGCAGGAAGCTACATTAGGTTAACTTTTTGCTCTTGCTATAAAAACCAGAAACTAAAGTATATATTTGATGCGAACTACCACTCGTGGAGCTTTACAAATACCGTTTTTTATCAGTGTTTATATTCTTGCAATAATAACGGCTTCAAATCTGTTAGAAGCATATAATTACTCTAGTCTTTTGATCGGATTTCATTTCAGTTGTATTTTCAGCTTCCTGAGGAATATGGTAAAATATGTATCTACTCACTGCCAGAACATGATACATTCACATCACAATCCCATCAGGTACCAATTAAGTGCTGGGTGAATGCGGACACATTTTAATTAGGCACTGTCAAAAAGACATCTTTTGTTTACATTAACTGAATATAATGGTGATTTCTATATGAAATCATAACTGTTAGTATCTTTCTGTCTTTGACCTGGGCCCCAATGTTGTCTTTGTCAAATATAGAAAAAAACAACGTTGGCAGTGAAAGGTAAAAGAAAAACCTTCTATAATAATTTAAGACCTCCACGATGTCTTGTTCTCGAAATTTATCATTCTCAAATCTTCTGAACATCAGGGTTTTAAAGCAAAATATATAATATTTTCAGTGAAAATTTCACAAAGCATGAAAGAAAAAACTCATTCTACAAAACAAACTTACATCTAGGATCGTATCAACTCCTATTTATCACATATATCAGAGAGGAAATTGTTTATATGTTGGTAGTGTTGGTAGTGACATCGATCAAAGTGTCATCAATTTGTCCCGGCTGAATTTTGGTATGGCCTTGTTCAAAAGGTTCCTTCATATTTTCTTCAGAAATCCGAGAATAGTTCTGGAAAAAAACCGTAAGTGTGAGTAATTTATATTATCTAATCCAAAATTAGAAGACCTAAACATCTGTTGTCTTACATCATATCAGTAGGAAACTGAATTTTCTGAAACTTTGCACTGACAAGGACTTGTCGTACTGCTTCAAATACCAACGCTGTCTCAAGCCTTTAAGGTGTCTGGCAAGAATCCTTGCAAACGTGAAGAAGTTCTTTTGCATTGCCAAACGGAAATTGTGCTGAAGAATAATTATTATGTCACTGTATCTCATACCGAAGTGGATTAAGCAGGCTCTGTGGTTGTCTTTACGACATAGCTTCTTCTGATATTGCTGATGTTTAAAACGGTTGTGTCCGACATCAAGGCAGTCAGAATCAGACCACCTGATCCTCTTCAGCAGGCGATACTAGAGAACTACGATTCCTCAGAAATCCCACAGTGCGTAATGCAAAACATGTGCTTCTTCAGAAACCCCATGCTGGGTGGTGCAAAACGTACTTAATTTCTTCCCCGGCAACTCCACATTGAGTAGTTCAAAAATACTTCCTCTTTTCATCAGCAACTCTACATTGTATAACGCGAACCATACTTCTTCAGAGTAAAGAGGTCTCGTTTGTGACAACTGTAGCTCATGTATATTAATTCTTTGAATAATGACAGAGATGCGGAACACTTGACCCTACAGGTGATAATCAAGGCTATCTGTCAACATATCAGTTAGTACCTGACTGGGGCCACTCATCTGGATTCCGGGTCTGGCCGGACTGGTAGTACTACTCTGTGATGTCAGTTCCACACCCATCGTTGATGTGCCTTCAGTGAGGTTTCCACGGCTGCTCGTAAAGTCTGCAACAGAATTGACAATATTGATGGACATGCATGATCCTTGAAACCGACCTATTGGTGTGTGCGTTATCAACATGTCGGCACCGCATTATTATCTGAATGGCCTCCCGTTGGCATGATAGATGCTTTGATCAAGATGCTTTGATCAAAGGTTTAAATCCTATATTCGCCATGACTTTGTGCTGGGGTTTGTCATTAGCTTATAGCTGCCATGTGAGGTGTGGTGTGTGTGCGTGTGTGTGTGCGTGAATGCGTGCGTGGGTACGTGCGTGCGTGCATGCATGCATGCGTCACTTCAACATATACCTTATATACAATCTCACCTGACGTTTTATCGGACCTTGTTTGTTTACTCCTGTCGTTGCTCTGAAAGGTAAGGTGAAAGGGGTTTAATACTTCGGGATGTTTTGCGCGAGTGTTGCTGCTTTTGCCATGCCTTGTCGTGACTGATTCCCGTTTCTTTATGCTATCCAACTGAGCATGCAGCGGCTCACCATGACTATCATAATACACATAAAGCCGGATTAGAGTCCACCGGTGCTTATTTTACACCTTAATACCGAGCGACAGGTATTACAGCAAGTACCATAACGGAGCGGTGGGGTAGCCCAGTGGTTAAAGCGTTCGCTCGTCACGCCGAAGACCAAGGTTCGATTACCCACATGGGTGCAATGTGTGAAGCCAATTCAGGTGTCCCAGCACTGATATTACTGGAATATTGCGTTAAAACGGCCTTTTGGTATGGACATCAAGCTCTCCGCTCCACTCCACTCTACTCCACTCCACTCCACTAGAGGTAGATAGTCTATCCTCTAGGTCACACACATGATCATTCTCGCGAAGAAATATTGTTCACTGACGAAGAAAGATTAATAATCAGAGATATCTCTGGCATGGCTTTGGAGTGAGCCTTTTTACGCTGCTTTTAGCAATATTCCAGCAATTGTAAACACTGTACCCAAGAGGAATCTAACCCGGGTCTTCGGATTGACAAGCGAGCGCTTGAAATTTCAACTAGGCCTGAAATTGATATGCAGCAGTGAAAAGCGACTTACTGTGTCATAATGCGAATAAACGAGTTTAAACCTTTACCATTAAAATACTGTACTACACATTACTGAGAGTATTGTCAAACCATTCTGCCTACCTCAAAGGACTCATATATCTGGGATAAGTAGCGCTGCATTACCGTTCTCAATCCATCACGAATCTGAAACATAAAACTTACAATTTCATATGTGGACATTCATTAAAATTCATAATATTATTATATCAGGAAAAAAGAAAATTTGCCAAGAATTAGTGAGAGTGATTGAAGATTAAGGTAGAGTCTTCAAAACAGATCTGTTGCTATAAATAATATTAGGAATACGATTTGGATGAATTCAGGATTCGATCCCTGTAACCTAAGGGCCACACCTATGCAAGTAGATTTTGGGTGGTCTTTGGCTCAACGCTGCACATGGTTGAGTGGATGTTGGTTGCTGCTGTCATTGTGAACAATAACATATAATGTAAACTATGTTCACGACGACTTGCAGCCATCTGCACCATCCAATACACAAGTGAAACATATCACCACCCGATCACCACTGGAGCTGTAATGGTGGGAGAGCGTGCGATTGACCATCATTATGCTTTTAGCATGTTTTGGGTACGTGAGTAGGGTTAAAGGTCGCTTTAAAAAGTGTTTTCGTTACATCAGGGTACGTAAGGAGGAAACCCTAGGTGATGCAGGTCCTAGAGACTGCTGAACACTGCTGGAGGTGTACCTTTAACCCTAGCGACTTTTTCCAAGATGGATACGCATCCTGTCACGTCCTTCCCCAAACCGGAAGAGTTGCCATCTTGGAAAAGGATGCCTGGGTAAGGAGGTACACTGCTACTGCCAAGTGTACTCCTAGATACGATACAACTTGCAAAATAGGTCCGCTTGCCCATCGCCAGTAAAAATCCAGTCGGGCGAGTAAATCTCCACAGTCACTGGCCCGACTGGCTAGTGCATTTTCATTGGGTCATTTTGTAAATACATCAATCTCTCCGACTTGTTAAGTTAATTAATACACTTTTAAATCATGCTAGATTATGGCCCCTGATAAAATGTTCATCATATTAGCAGCTTAATGATGAAACCCGTGTCATGCTGACGATGTCTTACGCTCATCTATTTTTGTAACAGAACGTTGATGAAGGGCCGTGTTAAGGAAGTAGCTGTCATCTCTGTCAGTGGTAGATCATTGTCTGTCAGGAAGTTGTGTCTTGTAGTTACAGGATGTTTTCGTAATGTCGTGTTAAGGAGGTAGCTACCATATCTGTCAGTGGTAGATCAAGGTCTGCCAGAACGTGTTGCCTTGTAATAACGCTATGTTGACGTAGGGTCGTGTTAAAGAAATAGCTCTCATCTCTGTCAGTGGTCATGTTAGCGTGTTATGTCAAAAGAAATAACTGTACTTTCGCAATGAACACTTCTGCATGGTTCTATTTTTTTAACATAATTGATGCTTGAAAATCAATAACATTGCGAATTTCAGGACAAAATGCATTTCGAGCTACAGTCTACACTGAACCAGTATATTTTTTACTTAAAAATAACCCCACCGGCGATTACTTTTTTCAATCTGTTACATGTGATGGTTGATTACACATAATCATACCTAACAACAGTTTCTGAATTTTCAATTACTTTATATACTTTCTTTTGCTCCCTAGTATTTACTGGAACACAGCGCCCCCTACCTCCACAAGCACACGTGTGTCAGTACTGTCAACAAGCCCAATCTTTTGCTTAGTTTCTACATTCAAATTTCGGGCTAGTGAATTATTTTGTGGGCTATTAACTTTAAGGCATTATATCTGCCAAAATTTGGAAACTATTTCCCACACTGTGATACAACTGATAGTTACTATCGAGGCCAACCTTTGATTCAAACATGTAACTTTTCAATACTGGAAGTAAGGGAGGTCACTCATCACAGTGTCATGTGCTACCAGGGCCACTCTTGAGAAAGGTTTCCATCGCTTTTAGCAAAATTCCAGCACATTCCCTGAGGAAGACACCATAAATGAGCCTCACAGATTGTATAAGTGAGGGGAATCTTCAGCATGACGAGTAAACGCTTTAACCACTAAACTACACGTGAAGTGACCCACCTTAGTGTTAAAAATGCAGTGCATCACGAAAATCAGGAAACCCTGGAACACAAGAAGTTTGATTTAATTGTGTAGACATATTTTACATTGTTTCAGATTACGCACTGTCAAAAAGAAAACAAAATAATGTTGCTTGATAAATAGAGCATTGTCAATTTAACATATTCAAAGGTGATCCATTCACACACAGTCGTGAAGATCCGGGTTTGAACTGGTCTCCAGCATCCCATGGTCAGACTCCCTAACTTGGTTGATCAATGCACGTATCCCAATTACGTAGATCGATGTTCATGATACCAGTCACTGGACTGTGTGGTAACTGACGTCATATAGTTGGAAACTAGTCAGTGTATTGCTTAACACAAAGAAGCAAAGCAATGCAACGGATCAAACACAAAGTTTGTATAACCTTCACCTTGGAAAGAGAGTATATTTCGATCAAGTTGATTCATATTTCATGTACTTCCGGTGTTGTAATAACCGTTTCCGGTTTCCCAAACTCAACCCGTGGTAGTAGTACATGCCGCAGAACCTGGTGTTCGTAGTTTATGATTTACGATTGAACCTGTTTTGCTCTTTCTTGTAAACTGAAACGAATATTCTCGAATACTTGTGATCCTGGCCAAAGTTTAGAGCTTGCATAGCAACCAGTAACATTGACACTCACATGTTTCACGTATTATGTCATCAATTAACTTGACTTCTAATATGATACATTTATATTTCAAACTCCGAGGTCTGTAGTTTACCAAGCAGTGGTCAAATTCATATTTCAACAGGAGTTTCTTTTCTGAATATGCATGCCAGGAATGAATGATCTTTTTCGCATGTTTCCATTTTCATACCTATTGACTTAAAAGTCGTTACCTGCAACGAATTGAAGATGGCAAAGAGGTATTGAAAGACGACTGTGTCTTCGTTAAATGCCAGAATACCAAACACCCACGTGACTCCGAGAACCAGGCATCAGAACACAAAGGCTCCGAAAACTTATCCTGAAAAGAAAGAACGAGGCTTATCCTGACGGTATGTGACATAAAGCAGAGCCGCTGCTGAGACTTCTGAAAACAAAGAACGAGACTTCACGAGATTTGTCCATGTGTACGGTATGTGACATAAAGCAATGGTATGTTTCCCATCAGCCACTGCTGTACTGTTGTACTAATGGTCAATGTTCCTGAAAAACAAAGAACGAGACTTCACGAGATTTGTCCATGTGTACGTGACAGTGAGCAATGTTTCCAATCATCCACGGGAGTACTGTTGTACTAGTAGACAATGTTCCTGAAAGACAAATCTTTATCAGTACTGTTGTTTGCTAAAAGCAAAAGAAATTAACTTACAAAAACAACGTCGTCATAATCCTCTCCTTGGGAAGCAGCAATAGCACATTGTTGAAGCAAAGATGTTTAAGATGTTCTTACTAACCTTAATAATCTGTTCCCATTAAAACATAATTTGTACAATGATGTCAAAGTGAACTATATCACTGGGCGTGTTGAATGATCCGAAAATTGATGCGTCGTTAGTTTAAAAGTACTTGTTTGGTTCCTCAATTATTTTTACTCTTTTCTCGATTCTATACTGGTTAACCCTTGTACATTATAAGTTGTTCACTGGTCACGAGGGGGACATGGATTGATGTATCCCCAATGTTTGTTTATGTTCCCTGAGCCCGATGTACCCTCTACCGCTTCAAACATAAACAAACATAGAGGGTACCCATGGGTACAACGTACCCAACGTAATAACGTATTTATCTTACCGAACACCTCAATGTTGCTTTTGAACTGTTTGAAACACGGGTATCGGATCATAATAGTTAGGCAATTAGCCAATACTAGATCTTAAGATGGCATGGAATCAAGCAGACAAGAAAATCAATTTTAGAGTTATCTCCCTTCCACCCATTGGCACTCGCAAAGCATCGATGATTTCCGTACATAATACGTGACTCAATTATTTGAGTTATGAATTACTTACACGAGGTACCACGGCTCGGCATTCAGAGCGGGTATCATATAGAAAAAGTCATTCGCTTGTAAGCGTGGTTCATCGAAAATAATAGAAGGGCGAGCAGCCAATCAGAAAACGACATTTATGTCTAAGGTAAGATTAAAAGCACTGTCCTTACTTTGGGAAAATAAACTACAGCCAAATTATTTGAAGGGTACTATATCTTGAGGGCCAATTACAGTACAACCAGAAATTATTGAGAATTTAAAGATTGTAATTTTTTAAACAAATTTCACTCATTACTCACGTATTAAATGTGAATATTAGCAGAACATAACTCCAGATTCAAAGACAGGTGAAAAGTTAGTATTTTGTCAAGTCACCATGGGCAGCAATGCAGGCTTCAATGCGGCGGGGCATACTACTATTTCCATAGAACACGTGAGCAGATGGAAGTTAATGTCCCTCGAGAGTATCTGTGTACCGCTCACTGTTCATATTCCCTTCAAATACACAGAGGGGCGTTGCCCCTAACACAGATATGCCACCCCACGCGTTAAATTTCGGATTGTACTTTGGGCGCTGATACAAAGTTTTTTCAGTTTGTTTGATCAAGAATTTCAGTGTATTAGGAAACAGCCACACAGAACTTTCATCTGAGACAATCACGTTGTCCCAGTTAAAATTTCTATGCTGTAAGCACCAGTTCAACTTTCGCTCTTTTTGTTCAGGTTTCATAACTGGAAAACCTTTGTATCAGCGCCCAAAGTACAGTCCGTGTGGGGTGGCATATTTGTGTTAGGGGCAACGTCACTCTGTGTTTTTGAAGGGAATATGAACAGTGAGCGGTACACAGATATTCTCGAGGGACATTTACTTCCATCTGCTCACGTGTTCTATGGAAATGTTTGGATTTTCGAGCAGGACAACGACCCAAAACATCGTTCAAAGCATTCACAGGCCTGGTTTCGGACCCAAAATATGACATTATTAGATCGGCTGAGCTATAGCCCTGACCTAAATAAAATAGAAAATGTTAGGGGACTTATGAAGGAAAGTGTCAATAAGAAATATCTGACAAATATTGCTGAAATGAAAAAAGAGGTGGTCCGATATTGGGACAGCATGGACCACGACTTTCTAACTTCTTTGATCGGTATTATGCCCCGCCGCATTGAAGCCTGCATTGCTGCCCATGGTGACTTGACAAAATACTAACTGTTCACCTGTCTTTGAATCTGGAGTTATGTTCTGCTAATATTCACATTTACGTGAGTAATTAGTGAAATTGTTTTTAGAATCTTTAAATTCTCAAAAAATTCTGGTTGTACAGCGTCGAAGCCGTCCTGAAGTGAACTAAGCAGTACTACGAAAAGGCAAAGATGACGTGTGCATATGACGTCACAATGTACGTCACACCCGTAAATAAGGCGTAGGGTTTCGCGCTAAGATAGTATGGGAACTGTGACGAGAAATTGAAAAATATAAAAGTTGTTTTTTCTTATAAAATGAATGTTTACAAATTCTGCCTTTATAGCGAACATGTTTGTAACGAACTGACGGATATAACTGACCACATCCTGTATATTGCAATCGAAAAGCATAACACGAAATATACTTTGTGGTCCCTTTGAGTTCGTTGTAACTAGTTTACTGTGCTTCTATATATAATCGTCTCAACTTGCTGTGACATGAATGTGCGCCATATGACGCCATGTAATACCCATCCATACAATCCGGAGGGGGATTTGGTAACTCGCCGGAGTGTACCTTACATTGATAACATCGGGACATGCCTTTGATGGTAAAAGACATTAGAATGGCTGTATTGGTGACATCATGCAGCAAATACACTTACATGAACTTCTCTCTATTTCCTTTTCTGATCATCATTTTGGTGGAAAACAGCACCCGCATGATGACGACGATGATCACGGTGTTAGCCTGTGTGAAGGGACAATGTTCGGACAGTTAGTGGACAGGAATTAGTGGTCGAAATAGCCTCATCTCCACGACATATTACCTACCACCAGCACTGTGAACTACTACAGTTACCAAGACAGCCTCTCCACCTCTGGAGACTACATTTACCATTTACTATTACTTCTGGAAAACTGTAACTAATATTCTAGTACAACCATATTAGGTTTCATATTCACATGTGTACATTTCACATTCAAAAAAGAAACATAAGTATTCAATCTCAGAACAAAATAGATAATTGAGATAATTTTGGAGCATTGTCAGGTCGTAAAGATCAAATACACGTCATGTACCAATTATCGCGACAATTCTTTTACACAGGTCAAAATAAAAAATATTGGAAAATTAAACGGAAAAATCCCTGAACAAATATGTTGAACTCACTATTAACCACACAAGTTCAATATTCCTTTCTTTTTTAAAAAATATGTGTGTGTGTGCATGAATTCCATATAGCTACTGTAAAGGCCATGTTGAAAATCAGATTTGAATTCTAGAACAATATCGGGTTTAAGTAATTCAGTAATGCGAGTTATTCTGTTTGTCAAAAACATCATGACAAGGAACAACATTTGCACAGTTTCATTTGTGTTTGATATATTTCGCATTTTGATGACATTACAAGTATGACGAAGAGGGCTGGTCCAACAAGGGCGTACAGAACCCCATCCTTCACAGTCAACCAGCAGCTGAAACAACACAACAACATATTTAACACTTACAACGTGTGTCACAACAACTTTATACCATAATCATTTTCAAATTAAATTGTAGATGTAAATAACATTGAAAGAATGCTTTACATTTGCACTGAGAGTGCAATAAAATTACATACAAATCAATTTCTTCTGTCACACAGTTTTAAAGAAAATATATTCTTGAAGTATTCTTACTAACAACATGACGTTTCACTCATTTCACAGTGCCATGTATCAGTTCAGACGTACGTTTAAAAGAGTGAAATATATTGATGTGAACTAGTCCTACTTACAACTGGTCATTTCCGTATCCCTCCAGCTTGGTGACCCCCAGGGTAATACCGACTATAACTGCCGGCACACCTGTTGGGACGACAGACAAAACAATTAGTGTTTTGTACACTGATTGAAGCGCGTTTAAGCCATGTCGGGGAAGTCAGTACTACGTGGATGGAAAGGCTGAGATGATGCTGACCTGTCTTGACCCGTGAATATCCGGGTTAGAAATGGTCTTCAGCAACCCATGCTTCTCATAAAGAGAACACTTTCAAGGTCACTTAACTGGATGGTTCATCGGCCCCAGAGTAAAGTCAAACCGGACGGTACCAGTGAAGATTCGGATTAGGAATGGTCTTGAGCAAACCATGCTTGTAAGAGTCGACTGCCGGGATCGGGTGGTCAGGCTTGCAGACGTGGTTGACACATGTCATCGTATCCTAATTGCGTAGAACGATGTTCATGTTGTAAATTTGTGGATTGTCTGACCCAGATTCGATTATTTACAGACTGCCGACATACAACTGTGATATTATTGAGTGTGGCTTTGAACAACAAACAATCCATTGATTACCATCGGGTTGTTGTTTGTTTGTTATTTAACACCGCAATAATCCAGCTACATGGTGGTGGCTGTCAATAATCCGGATTGACTTTACGCCGGGGCTGATGAACCATCTAGTAAAGTCACATATTTCTATTTGTGTGCCGTGAAGTTGAGTCTATCACTCAAAGAAACTATTGTCACAATGTCTAAATAGGGGTTTTATTCCTCAAAGCTATTACGGATGAACTGCTCGAGATTCGTTTTTCAGTGATGTTGTCTGCTTTGAAGACACGGTTACAAACATTTTCTGTTAAACAGCAAATGTCGTCTCCAAGCCATCAGGACAACTACCCCAGATCCACCAATGTTCTATCATGGCACTCTCAGTCTGTTTGAAGACCTTTACGGTAATGCATAAGTATAGTTTTTTGAACGGAAAATAATGTTTCGATAATACAAACAATGGCAGCGAAAGAAATATTAACACGAAACACTGAAATAAGTTTTATTAATAAAGAAAAGAACATTCAGAAATGTCAAACACTGTTGTTGTTTTTCACAGTTTTTGTGATTCATGTTTTTGTGAAAGAACCAGGTGACTATACTTTGTTTTATAAGTCCACTTAATTAAACGCGAAAGACACTCATTACAAAATCCTAATAAAAACCTGACGTACACCCACCAAACTGTGGAATTCCTTCCCATACAAAATCTCTGCACATGAGAGTAAGTTGATTGGAAGGTTGTCCTTGGAGAGGTAACTCAAATCGGATTCAACTCATGACGTCACTCCCATATTAAATGTATCCTTTGTAGCGAGTGGGCTCGCGTGTTTTATCATGATACAACAAAGATGTAATAATACACACGGTAAGCAAGGTTTTATTACCCCAGGATAGAGCGAGGACAACCTCCAGTCTTGAAATCTTCCTAGACACAGTTACTATCTGTCTGGCCATTTCGATCCCCTGGGCAAACATCAGACAGAAGATGGCCAAGAACAAGTAGTGCAAAATGGCCGCCACTGCAGTACACGCGGCCTAGAAGCAGAGGGGAAGAAAGACAAGACAATATTTAATGATAACACTTGTGAAAACCTACTGAAAATTTCACAAATTTAAAATAATGATTATAATAAGGATAATATATTTTAGTTCGGGTTTAGTCAGGTACACGTGAGTGCCAATATAACCTGTGTCTCTTTCCATGACAAAGACTACATAACATCAATACCGGTATGACCGCTATTTGTGTTACAACGTTACCTTGTTTTCTGTTCTCTCCACGCCAGCCAGGAAGACGCTGTAGGCCAAGGTCAACGCCATACAAAGGTTCACCAGGATAACGGACTTAGCAGAGCGAACACTCCTGTATAATGAAGTGATTGAGAGGATGTGGTAATGACCTTATGTACCTCTACATGCCGGTATTTATCTTCGCGATGAGACATACGTGCATAAGACTTACTTACTCTAATGGTAACATATTTGAATTTATTTGGCACTTCAAGGTATACTAGAAACATAAGAACTGTAGTCTTCATCACTGACGGATCATGGTCCGCCAGAACGTGGTGTCTTGTAGTAACAGTAGTAACAGTAGGTCATCTCTTGAGTGGTGACCAACGTCTGCCGTTGTGTGTAGTAAGGACGTTGTGAAGTCTGTCAGTAGCTGTCATCTCTGTCAGTGGTAGATCATTGTCTGTCAGAAAGTTGTGTCTTGTAGTAACAGTATGTTGATGAATGGTCGTGTAAAGGAAGTAGCTGTCATCTCTGTCAGTGGTAGACCAACGTCTGACAGAACGTCGTGTCTTGTAGTAACAGCACGTTGATGAATGGTCGTGTTAAGGAAGTAGCTGTCATCTCTGTCAGTGGTAGATCAAGGTCTGCCAGAACGTTGTGTCTTGTAGTAACAGTATGTTGATGAATGGTCGTGTTAAGGTCGTGTAAAGTAGCTGTCATCTCTGTCAGTGGTAGATCAAGGTCTGCCAGAACGTTGTGTCTTGTAGTAACAGCATGTTGATGAATGGTCGTGTTAAGGAAGTAGCTGTCATCTCTGTCAGTGGTAGATCAAGGTCTGCCAGAACGTTGTGTCTTGTAGTAACAGTATGTTGATGAATGGTCGTGTTAAGGAAGTAGCTGTCATCTCTGTCAGTGGTAGATCAAGGTCTGCCAGAACGTTGTGTCTTGTAGTAACAGTATGTTGATGCAGGGCCGTGTTAAGGAAGTAGCTGTCATCTCTGTCAGTGGTAGATCAAGGTCTGCCAGAACGTTGTGTCTTGTAGTAACAGTATGTTGATGAATGGTCGTGTATGCTTCATCTCTGTCAGTGGTATGGTCTGCCAGAACGTGTTAACAGTATGTTGAAGTAGCTGTCATCTCTGTCAGTGGTAGATCAAGGTCTGCCAGAACGTTGTGTCTTGTAGTAACAGTATGTTGATGCAGGGCCGTGTTAAGGAAGTAGCTGTCATCTCTGTCAGTGGTAGATCAAGGTCTGCCAGAACGCTGTGTCTTGTAGTAACAGTATGTTGATGAATGGTCGTGTTAAGGAAGTAGCTGTCATCTCTGTCAGTGGTAGATCAAGGTCTGCCAGAACGTTGTGTCTTGTAGTAACAGTATGTTGACGTAGGGTCGTGTTAAGGAAGTAGCTGTCATCTCTGTCAGTGGTAGATCAAGGTCTGCCAGAACGCTGTGTCTTGTAGTAACAGTATGTTGATGAATGGTCGTGTTAAGGAAGTAGCTGTTATCTCTGTCAGTGGTAGATCAAGGTCTGCCAGAACGCTGTGTCTTGTAGTAACAGTATGTTGTCGTAATGTCGTTTTAAGGAAGTAGCTACCATATCTGTCAGTGGTAGATCAAGGTCTGCCAGAACGTGGTGCCTTGTAATAACGCTATGTTGACGTAGGGTCGTGTTAAAGAAATAGCTCTCATCTCTGTCAGTGATCATGTTAGCGTGTTATGTCAAAAGAAATAACTGTACTTTCGCAATGAACACTTCTGCATGGTTCTATTTTTTTAACATAATTGATGCTTGAAAATCAATAACATTGCGAATTTCAGGACAAAATGCATTTCGGGTTACACTGAACCAGTATATTTTTTACTTAAAAATAACCCCAACGGCGATTACTTTTTTCAATCTGTTACATGTGATGGTTGATTACACATAATCATACCTAACAACAGTTTCTGAATTTTCAGTTACTTCATATACTTTCTTTTGCTCCCTAGTATTTACTGGAACACAGCGCCCCCTACCTCCACAAGCACACGTGTGTCAGTACTGTCACCAAGCAGCCCAGGATAGACAAGGAACAGCCCGCTATGGAGATGATCTTCAGGAGTCGCAGGTTTTCTTCAGACTGGAAAAGTCAAATAATCATATCAATAAAGCCTTTACGGTTGGTCGTCTGGCAGTGTTAGACCCCTGGTTGATGTTTCTAGCTGTACTTTGTTCAACTCTTTGAGAATCGAAGTCACCTTCGTTCTATTATGAGTTTTATAAGACTACCGTGACGTTACACAATGTTTTCAGAGTGAGGACAAGTCACATGATAGTGAATATCACATGGCTTTTGTCATATCTGTTCTTAAGAGAATTCCCATTGCTGGGAATCGAACGGCATTTCGCCATTGATTCGAAAGTGCCACTTAAGCCACTGTGGCAATGTGAACTATGGGGAATGTTTTGAAGTCATGATTTCGGGCGTCATATATTATTATTCTGATAATTAACACCAGTGAGTTATAAGTTAGAGTGATCGTTTTACCACGACTCGTGTTGGACTCATCAGAATACCGAAGTTGGTCAAGTGGTCACAATCACATCTTGAGAAGGAACTGTTTATTTGACTTCTCTTGCACCCATCCGTCCTCCAGGAACTGAAACACAAAAGTCACTCCAATCATATGTGGACATAGGGGGATCAATTTGTTTACTTGGTTCATGGCACAAACGCATGTTTATACATATCCACAAACGCATTACAATTTTGTTGACAATATCTTTAATTCAGTTAAAAATAGCTTCAATATAATTCGAGGTATCTTTAAAACAATTTCGGAAACAGCTTGCCATAGTCGTGTGTGTGTGTTTGTGTCCTATTCAGAACTTTCCCCGGTTCCTTAATGTTAGCCCATTCACATACCATTTGGCAGTTAAACATGAATACCTAACTCAAACACAGTAAAGTCCGAGTAGACCAGACCATCGTTCTATCCCAGTAATGCAGAGTGTATGGCTCGGTAATAACAAGTACCAGCCAGAAATGGATTGAAACACTCGCATTCCGCTCTCCGGGCAGACGGTTCCCCATTACAGTTGATTTTAAATTACATCCGTGAAGATCCAACTTAGAATTGGTCTTCGGCAACCCATGCATGTCGTAAGAGGAATTGGGTGGTCAGGTTGTCACATGTCATTGTATCCCAATTGTGCAGATCGATGCTCATGATATCAATCACTGGCTTGGCTGATCCAATCTCGATTTTGTACAAACCACCATCATATAGCGCAAAAGATAACGAAACGAACACAGATTTTTCTGGTTTGGACCTTATACGCGATATAGCCTCAATTACACGTTAATGTTTGCTCAAAGCTCAGAGCTTGTCGTTTCCCTAACAGCATGTAAACTACACTACGTCTTGTTCATTTTACACTTCACATATATGTTAAAAGTAAAAAACAACCGAACTTATCTTTTTCCAACTACGAGCCAAAGGTTTTGAAAATGATTCGTAAATCTAAAGTCATTATATAACATAAAATACATATTATAGTCTGTGAAATGTTAAGAAAACTAAAATGCTCGTTTGAAAACACGTACTATCAAATCTGGTTAACTGTCAATAGCAAGCTGGTGTGTTTTTCATGTAACAATTCTGTTGTTGAAGGCTGTTGATTCCACTGTTATTCCTAACACATGCATGCTGATAGACTGGATGATAAACTTATCATTCGTAAACACCACCGTCCTACTATCAAACCAACGCCCTGTTAACTTCCGCTCTAAATGGCTACAGTCTGACGATGCACTCTCGCAATATGTTGACTTCAAGACTTTATCTGAGAATCGGAGATCATGTGTAGACACACCATGGCGTATGGTGTTGGCATTTAGTGAAATCTGCCTTAGTCACAAACATGTTTGTGAGTCAGAAGTACAACATCGCAAAAATCGTTGCCTATACACATTTCAATGTGTACTATATTTTGTATGTATAGTCATGTTACACCATAATCTGAACATGTCACAGACAGGAGAAACCTAAATTTGGATACAAGTATTATTTTACGATGGTAAACATTTCTTTTCCGTTATAAAATCTTTTAAACATCATTATTTTGACAGGAGGGGTTTCATTTTTTGTACCTTCTTTAAAAACGGTCACATGTACACAGAATGTCATTCGTCCCTCGTGAAAATGTTTAAAATGTTTAAAATACTCAACAGCACTTGTGTATTATACCATTCTTTTTATATATATTTTTAACAATTATGTCAAATTATGATTTTGGAATTATATCTGTTACCTTAGTTTTTGAGGGGTGACTAGGCTATTTGGATATAACATCTTTAACTTAATATCTGGCACTGTAAATCCAACGTTTGACTATACGAACTGACTGCCTGAGTTTAGTTTTACGCCGCTTTTAGCAATATTCCAGCAATATCACGGCAGGGGACACCAGAAATGGGCTTAGCACATTGTGCCCATGTGGGAAATCGAACCCGGGTTTTCAGCGTGACGAGCCAACGCTTTAACCACTAGGCTACCCCACCGCCCCTCTATACGAACTGAAAGGTGAGGGAACAGTACTGTTTCATTTGACCTTCAGTGTATTTTAAAATATTGAGAGGGGAGACTGGCGACTTTTAAAGAACAAATGAAACTTGTACCCTTTATTAAAGTTCCAATATCCGCATTCTAGTTCTGCATCGTCGACCTGAAAATAGAATTAAAGAAGAAAAACACACGCAATACATAGGTCAAACAAACACAAATGCACTGATTTATAATCAACCTTGGCAACAAAACCCGTTGTTAAGAGGTGTGTCTATATTAGACAACGTACGGAACTGCCTTGTACCGTAACGGAACATCGATTTTGACGTTATGAGTAAACGTTATATTTGTCCTTGGAATAAAAACCCTTGAAGACGGGGTCCATGACGAGTTTACCAATATCAAATAATATGATGGCGAGGCACCGCCGAAATGATCTTCATCCAGTCTAACCATGCTGGGAGTCAAACTCCGGAGGAACGATTAGCTCAACCATTACGAGAGTGAGCGGATATGTTTTACGCCGTTTTAGCAATATTCCAGCAATATCAGGGCGGGGGGTACCAGAAATAGCCTTCACACATTGTACCAATGTTTGGAATCGAACCCGTCGGTGTCACGATCGAAGGCTCAAACCATCATTAAGACACGTCCGATATCAATTCAATAATAAATATTACACAATGGGGTTTAGTTGTTTAAGAGTTCGCTCGTCACGGCGTAGACGTATGGCACAGAACACTGATAGTATGCCTAGTGGACACTAGTCAGAATGAAGCAGGCCATTCATGTACACAATGTAAAATATATCACTCACCTGTCCATGGTAGAAATTAAGCGTGACATCCACGTTTAGCTCTGCAAGTCTTTTACCGCCAGCGTGGACAGCAAGTGATAGAATCTGAGATCGTATTTCTTTCTGTGTTGACCTGTCATCTCTACTGTGAACGAAGTATATGTTTTGTGAGATGATTGTTCATGGTAGTGCAATGTATTGCTACACCATTCTGTAAATGTTTTTCACACTAATTAATACTCCAAGAAGTATTGCTATCTGAGCTGTGTATAACTTACTGTATTTAGACTTGGAGTCTAGTATTATCTGAAAACTTCTACACAGGATTGAAGAATCCAGTGTAGTGTGGGAGGGTTTTAAATTATGTAAGTGGGGAAGCCAATACCTCTATCATCTCACATTACATCAGCCGTCTGTGAAGATCACACTTTCACCCTGGATATCCAGCCTAGGCCTCTATCATCTCACATTACATCAGCCGTCTGTGAAGATCATAGTTTCACATTGGATATCCAGCCTTGGCCTCTATCATCTCACATTACATCAGCGGTCTTTGAAGATCATAATTTTACCCTGGATATCCAGCCAATGCCTCACTATCATCTCACATTACATCAGCTGTCTCACATTACATGTCTGTGAATATCATAGTTTCACCCTGGATTCTACCTAGGGATATCCAGCCATATGCCTCTATCATCTCACATTACATCAGCTGTCTTTGAAGATCATAGTTTCACCCAGGATATCCAGCCTAGGCCTCTATCATCTCACATTACATCAGCGGTCTGTGAATATCATAGTTTCACCCTGGACATCCAGCCAAGGCCTCTATCATCTCATCTTTCATAGTAAAACTGTGTAACACTTCGTTGTGTCTTCGTTTCAAGCCTAAGTCTTTTGCGTGTAGATTTCTATGTAAAGATTTAGCTATGTCAAGTACTGGTCTAACTTAACTGTTGTATCTTGTCTATCATCTGTCATGAAATGCAAACAGAATGTAGCGTTTCTGAGTACATGCCAACATGTAGTATGAAATCTAAGTTACCTGGTGGTACTTCTCTGTAGAAACTCGGCCATAGTTTGGTAAAAGACTGCAACGTAAGTGACATTTTCTGAAAATGAACCAAGAAGCTCATATGAAGGTAACGGGATATAATTTATAGGCCAAAAGCCAGATTTTACAAGTTTGAAACAAACGTAAATACCGTAATGTTTACCACACTCAAATATTTGTCAAAAGCACAGTTTGACGATTCCGACTTTATCCTGGGCATGCGATTCTAGATGACTACCAGGGTTTGGAGAAAAGGTGAGATATCCTGCCCCACTGGTGGTAACCAGCACACACACATGCACGAAATGGCCGAAATGAAGAAGATATCTGTCACTTTTAAAGTTAGGTGAAGTAAATAATCATGAAGAATGCTGGTAGAAAAGAACGGCATAACTCGAAAATCCAGATTTTGTTCATTTTGTAAAAATACCTTAGAAGATGAGTTATATTTTATGATAAAATAGGCTTCGACTAATATATATGGTAGATATTGAATATGTAAATAACGATTGTCTAATTAATCTTCTTTAAAATGCCAACCCTAAATCTTAGCTCTTTATGCAATCTTTATGCAATCTTTCTTGATATGAATATATTTTATACATATGTTGCTGTTGCGAACTTAAGCACCTTGGATGTATATATCTTCCATTTATATTGTACTTGCTTCTGTGCCCTTTATACTGAATAAAATTATTATTATTCAGTAGCCGGAATTGCGTGAATTCCCAATATAAAGTAACGTAAGACGTATATTTCATACAAAACATGTGATGAAACGTTTGAACAAGGGTACGCATTTGAACGAGTTGCATTCCGTATTTCTAAATATATTTCTGTGAGACTAAAGACTATTTTTTTCAAAAAGTCACATGAATTTATTTGTATCTATATCGTTTTAATATGCATGCATATACTGTAAACATAATTTTGAAGTGATTTTTGATCGACAAGTATATGGTTAACTAGTCATAGTTAATTAACTTGTGCCCAAAAGTGGTTTAATCGAAGTATTTACGACATTACATCAACATCGACACATCTGTGTTTTTTATCACTTGTTTCACTTTTGGTCATGTAGCCATATCAATCAAATGCATATATTCCTCGTCCTGGTAAATATGTTTCCGTTTGGCCAGATGTAAGATCCTGCATAATGTCTGCATGCTGTAGATAAGAGCAAATCCTGTACATATAACAGGGAAACCAAATGCACACAAAGTCACATTGTAATTATCTAGTGCCCTGAAATAGGCATCGGTTATTTAAAATGTCAAGTTCGAACTTTCTTCAGAATTAGCTCTGCGTTTAAATGTTTAGATTTTTAGAAACATGTACAAATAGATATATTCTATGTCACGAGCCTCATTATGGTGCTCGCTCGAACGCTGCTGTCTGAAATAATATTGTAAACAATAAGTTTGTAGCATCAGACACCGCCATTGGACAATTTGCAGTTTTGGATTTGAACGTTGTTTTTTGTAAGGTTAAACAATGTATTCATACATCCGAAGGATTGTTTACGATTTATAGGGGATATATTGTACAATATGGAAAATACATGAAAACGATGGTATTCTCCTCTGTACTACCTCTGTGGTACAAGTTCATAATGGTTAAGTTATTCTTTTCAAGGCTTGGTGTTGCTTTAGCTCTGATACGTTTTCATACAACTCGCGGGCGAGCGGGAAAAGTACAGTTGAAAAAGTAAGAAAACTGTTTTCACGATCTGTGTCTTTGAATATCACTGGTAGTAGCCATTAAATTATGTATGATGTAGATCAAAACATTTGCTTCAGAAACAACTTATTTGATAAATGTCGATGAAGAAGGATCAAACAAACATTGGTGTCTTCTTAGTGAGGACAAGGAAAGGCTATTATTGTTCTGTTGGCAGACATTCCCCGAGCATTAATTCACGAAGGGATGACATTTCAGGAAGGAAAAAAACACAGACAAAGTGCGGACAGCCTAAGATAAAATGGTATCTGAGAGACATTCTCTTCAGTAGCCTCTTTATATCACTTAAGCTCTGAAGCTTCCCTGGAGCATGTCCTCGAACGTTGGTCAATTCATAAAATATTTATTTACCTTCGGCATCATAGTTTTCCTGAGAAAGTCTTAAAGAATTCTTCGTCCCCTCCAGGTTTTCTGTAGGAAATGTGATGTCTTGTTTCTTAATCTTTGCAACTTCTATCACTTAAAAGAAATGAAAATACATAAATGGAAAACATTTACAAAGAATACACATTGCAATTTAGAAAGTGGTCAAATGTAATACAGACCCGTGAAGATCCGGGGTAGAATAGGTCTTCAGCAACCCATGCTTGCCACAAAAAGCGATTATGCTTGTCGTAAGATGGGATCGGGTGGTCAGGCTCGCTGACTTGGTTGACACATATCATCGGTTCCCAATTACGGAGATCGATGCTCATGCTGTTGATCACTGGATTCTCTGGTCCAGACCCGATTATTTACAGACCGCCGCCATATAGCTTGAATATTGCTGAGTGCAGCGTAAAACTAAACTCACTCACTCACTCAAATGTAATACATGTTATATTTAAGATTACATTTCCTCAGAACAGTACAGATTCTAGTACTTTTGATGGCTTGAGTCCCATCCGGAATTCGAACCCACACCCTCAGAGTCGGGCACCTGATCGCCAGCGCACACAGACAGCCGTCTAACCCATGTGGAAGCTGCAGTGGCTGAGTGGGTTGTACGGCTGACATTCTGGGCGGGCGACTAGGTGCCTCAATACTAGTGAAGATATTGTGATTACTTATCAGGGAAACTAGAACTTGCATTTGGCATTTAGGACAACATACATTCAAGAGTTCCGACACAATCGATTCGACGTATCAGAGGTTATATATAATGGTAAACATTCAAGCAATTCAATGGGACACAGAAATAATTTCGGCAAAGCCGTGAATTCAGGTTATATATGAGAATGACCTCACAGCAGTGTTCAAATGTATTTATATAGCAGGAAGGCATTGTGTTCAAATGAAATTCCGTACATACATTCAGCAGAACAACACATAACTCTTCAAAAATAGAACTATTTATCTTTCAGCTGGCTTACTGGGAAAGCTAGACAACTGTTCGAATACAAAACATAGAATATGCATGCTCATCTGAGAAAAGGTGTACGGCGACTTATTCTCAATGTCCCACAACAAACACACAACCATAACATTGATATACAGTCTTTAAAGCCATTCTCAGCCTTCGGGTCTCAATGTCGTGTAATGGATGCAAATCGAATTCATCAAGGAAGTTCCTACCCATGGTTGAACTGTTGATAGTCAGAGGTTTGTTCACCGTCTGTGATGCTGCAGCAGCCAAACCAAAGGACGTCACTGCTCTCATCAAAGACGACGCCTTTGTTGCATTCTTCAAGAAAAGAGGATTTTGTTTGCTCTATTAATATTAGGCCTATATATAATATGTTTCTAATTTTGAGAATATGTTTAAAAACAAATGAAAGTATACGCGTGGATCACATGCGTGTACCAATATTGAACTGGAGGTCTGCTTCTGAAGGCAAATGAAAGTTTGATGTTAATGAACTGCAACAGCGACAAAAGTCTTTCATACTAATGTAGTATACATGCGTGTACCAAGAAGTTCTTTATGTTACTACAGCCCTCATTTTATTCCTACAGGTCACCTCCGCCAGCATGGGTGGGATCCATAGCGAAACCTACAGTCACTAGTCTCACTCGTTCACGTGGCTATTACGTTGTACAGCATTTACACTACGTCTTCAATAAAATGTGCACATTTCGTTTAACTTGGTCGACAAGGATGAAAGCTAGCATGGTGATAGTCACATGTTCTGTAGTTATAATCACAATACTGATTGCCCTGTTACAAGACAATACATAGGTACGTACAAAAGGTACGTTCCAATCCGAAGACACGTACGTCCACAAATGGTGCGCTCCAATCAGTCCCAAATGTTTGCCCAAAGTAGTTGACTTTTAACCTTTTATAGTCATTGGCATTAAACATAATTTTCACAACGCACCCTTGCATTCTGCTCTTATATGCTGGTCTTATATATCATATGTGCACATGTGCACATATCACGATTGCCTAGCCACCATTGTTCCTGTATTTTGTCGTCATTAAACAAATGAACGTGACGTCAATGAACAGAGCCGTCATACTTGCTTACCGTGTTTTACTTCACAAATGAACATGAATAAAATGGGTTATAATTATTACACAATGTGTTATAGGACTTTTACGAAATTCGTGCAAAATTTCACAATCGATTCAATTGAGTGATCAGTAGAAAATTGTGTCACCGAGCTTGTGTACTATGCACATATTTGTGACGTCATATATATCTGTGCACATTCCACGAAGTTGAGTTTTTATGATTTGTGGCAATCGAAATTGCATTTTTATATAGTAAGAATGACATTATATGATTAATAGGTTATCACCCGAATGTGTTTTGGGATGGTTAATATCCTGCATTACGAATAAACATTGTATATCAATATCACCATGTGATGACTAATACAAGGAACAGACGTTATATATGATAAACAAAGTCATGAAAATCAGTCTCTGATGATTAGTGTATAAAGAGCAGATGTTAACATACAGGATACTAATATATAAACTTTTATACAACCTAAGGACTGGGCGTTAAAAGATACAAAGCAGGTCCCGCAAGAGGAAAAGTACTAGACCCAAGAATTACTTATGGTTGACGATTGCGCGTGGCTTTGTATTCATAATCACATATTTATAATTACTTATCACAAACTCACTTTTTTCTGAACTTGCTGCCAGTCCTCTTTACTGGTGTCAACAGACAGGATGTTGTCAACCACATTAACAAAGGACTGAAAGTAGAAATCATTGACATAAGTTAGAAACATTATGCTTCTTTAACAGACCTTACACGTCTCTGTCTGTATGCACAATACAGTTTGTCAGCTGTTAATTCCCAGAAGCACTGATGTTCTAAGCAAGTTTCCCTCCTAATGTGGAATTGTTCAGCACAGGACGTGTGAAATGAATTCATTCAGCGTAACGATGTGTGAGAAGAGTATTCAAAGTATTTGAAGTAGTCAGATTTAGGTAAACGGCTCTACTATGCAAGTTTACTTGTATTCAGTTACTACGATAAAATCATTCTGCTGTTAACTGGGTTTAAAGCTTGGACAATGGTGTCGTATAACCGACTCCCCTATAAACATATACCCTGTAAGTTCGAATCCCAGTTATACCCTTGTTTTTATTCTTGGTTTCTCAGCACCAAACTCCTTGCTTGTGGGTTTAACCAACGGTAAGCTTGGAATGTCCCTGAGAAGACTAAACGCGTTTAACAAGCCTCACCATTTTATCAAATGTTTATGAAGGTTTTGTGAGTTGTAAACCAAATGGAATGGCGGCATAAATTTTCTGATCCGCTTTGTTTCATTCCATGAGCAAAATTGACAAGTGAAAATGTTCTGTTAATGTCCAAATACATGACAACGTGTCTTCAGGTTTATCAGAAACACACAGACACTAAGTGTGTCCGTTGGAGACTTTCTTTGGGTAAACATATTCCTGTCACAAGATGGAATCATTTCTATCAATCTGTGCACGACAGTGCCCACTTCCAACGTGTGTCAGACTTAACATTGTCTACTCTACTAGATGTATGGCGAGCTAGCATAGATGAAATATGTAGATAGCTGAAACACACGAGGAAGTGTTGACACAGGAAAGCACATGGGTAGAACAATATGTAGATACAGAGAACGAGGCTATGTTTAACATTGGCTTGCGATAGGATCAACGCTCTTCCTGTTGAAACTTTCAAAAGCCCGGGATCCTCAACAGAGTACGTCCACCAACAGACTTTCTGAATTTCACATTATCTACGCCTATATTTACTAGGGTGCTCTTACACCTTAGAATGATATAGCTTTCACCTCTACTGGTGCATACACCTCACGCCTACTAAGGTACCTTAGACAGTATCATGACGGTATTAACAATAAAAGAAACAACCTTATACTTAGTATCAAGGTACCCTGCAGCTGACAGACAAGTTACCATATACTTTACCACCAAGGTACCATGCACCTTGGTATCAAGTTACCATACACCTTACTACCAAGGCACCATACAACTTACCACCAAGGTCCCCTACACCTTTCTACCAGTGTACCCTACACCTTACTATCAATGTACCTTTACACCTTACTTTCAAAGTACCCCACAGCTTACTCCAAGGTACCACACATCTTACTATCAGAGTACCCGAAACTTTATAACCAAGGTATCCTACACCTTACTATCACGGTGCCCTACACCCTACTATCAAGGTACTCTACACCTCAATGTCACGGTGCCCTACCCCTTATTACTAAGGTACTCTACACCTCACTATCAAGGTACCCTACACATTATTACCAAGGTACTCTACATCCTACTATCAACGTACTCTACTCCTTACTATCAAGCTACTCTACACCACATTATCAAGGTACTCTACACGTCACTATCAAGGTGCCCTACACCTCACTATCTGGGTACTCTACACATCACTATCAAGGTATTTTACATCTTACTATCAAGGTGCCCTACACTTCTCTATCAAGGTGCCCTACACCTCACTATCTGGGTATTCTACACATCACTATCAAGGTATTCTACATCTTACTATCAAGGTGCCCTACACTTCTCTATCAAGGTGCCCTACACCTTAATACCAGGGTACCATATACTTACTATCAAGGTACTCTACACCTTACTATCAAGGTACACTACACCTCACTATCAAGATGCTCCACACCTTATCACCAAGATAATCTACACCTTACTATCAATTTTAAAGTACTCTACACCTTACTATCAAGGTACTCTACACCAAACTATCAAGGTACTCTACACGTCACTATCAAGGTGCCTTACACCTCACTATCTGGGTACTCTACACATCACTATCAATGTATTCTACATCTTACTATCAAGGTGCCCTACACTTCTCTATCAAGGTGCCCTACACCTCACTATCTGGGTACTCTACACATCACTATCAAGGTATTCTACATCTTACTATCAAGGTGCCCTACACTTCTCTATCAAGGTGCCCTACACCTTAATACCAGGGTACCATATACTTACTATCAAGGTACTCTACACCTTACTATCAAGGTACACTACACCTCACTATCAAGATGCTCCACACCTTATCACCAAGATAATCTACACCTTACTAACAATTTTAAAGTACTCTACACCTTACTATCAAGGTACTCTACACCTCACTATCAAGGTACCCTACACCTTACTATCAAGGTACTCTACACCTTACTGCCAGGGTACAATACATCTGACTATCAAGGTACTCTACACCTTACTATCAAGGTACTCTACACCTGACTATCAAGGTGCTCTACACCTCACTATCAAGGTGTCCTACACCTCACTATCAAGGTACCCTACACCTTACTATCAAGGTACTCTACACCTTACTGTCAGGGTACAATACATCTTACTATCAAGGTACTCTACACCTTACTATCAAGGTACTCTACACCTGACTATCAAGGTGCTCTACACCTCACTATCAAGGTGTCCTACAGCTTACTATCAAGGTACTCTACACCTGACTATCAAGGTACTCTATACCTTACGAACAAGGTACTCTACACCTTACTACCAGGGTAGCATACGCCTTACTATCAAGGTACTCTACACCTTACTACCAGGGTACCATACACCTTACTATCAAGGTACTCTACACCTTACTACCAGGATACCATACACCTTACTATCAAGGTAATCTACACCTTACTATCAAGGTGCCCTACTCCTTTCTACCAGGGTACCATACACCTTACTATCAAGGTAATCTACACCTGACTACCAGGATACCATACACCTTACTATCAAGGTACTCTACACCTTACTATCAAGGTGCCCTACTCCTTACTACCAGGATACCATACACCTTACTATCAAGGTGCCCTAGACCTTACTACCAGGGTACCATACACCTTACTATCAAAGTACCCTACACCTTATTGCCAAGGTACTCTACACCTTACTATCAATGTACAGTACGCCTTATTTCCAAGGTGGCCTACACCTTACTACGAAGGTACCCCACACTAGGTATTCAACAAAAGCACCCAACATTTTACAATCAGGTTCCCATTATCTTACAGCTTAAGTACCCAACACCTCAATACCAAGGCAACACACATCTGCTTCTTTTCAACGACGTACCTTACACTGTTAGCCAGACACTTTTACTTACAAGATGCTAAATTACTTCCTATCCTTTATTGATAAAGTACCATACAGTTTAATAACTCAGTAGCATTGTCTATTCAGCAACAAGCTGACCTCTAGTTTACCAGTATCATAAACATTTACTATGAAGGTACCCAACGTCTTGCTGCAAAGATTCCGTTTACTCCGCTACTTTAGTTATACTATTACTGATGCAATATTTTTTGTCCTAACAAACACGATACCACAACTCTGACAACCTTCACTTTCTCTAACACGGTATCGTGACACTGATCACTGATCATCACTGTGATCCATTCATAGGATACCTTCACGTATAGATAGATGTGTGTATAGATAACTGTGTGTACAGATAAGTATGTGTATAGATACCTATGTGTACAGATACCTTCACGTATAGATACATGTGCGTATAGATTATTGTGTGTACAGACACCTACGTGTACACATACCTGTGTGTATCGATACCTTCATGCACGGATACCCGCGTGTACAGATACCTTAACGTACAGATACCTGTGTGTACAGATACTTCACGTATAGATACCTTTTTGTACAGATAACTCTGTGCATAGATACCTCTGTGTATAGATACCTGTGTGTACAGGTACCCTCACGTACAAATACCTGTGTGTACAGACACCTCCACGTACAGATACCATCGTGTACAGATATCTGTGTGTACTGACACCTTCACGCACAGATACCTGTGTGTACAGCTACCATCGTGTACAGATATCTGTGTGTACAGCTACCATCACGTACATGTACCTGTGTGTATAGATACCTGTGTGTACAAATACCTGTATGTACAGATACCTTCACGTATGGATAACTGTGTGTATAGATACCTTCGTGTATAGATACCTGTGTGTGTAGTTACCTGTGTGCATAGACACCTGTGTGTACAGATATCTTCATGCACAGTATAGATGTCGGTGTGTACAGATACCTTCATACACAGATACCTCTGTGTATAGATACCGGTGTGCACTGATACCTTCGTGTACAGATACCTGTGTTTATAGATACCTCTGTGTATAGATATCTCTGTGTACCGATCACTGTGTGTATAGATACCTTCATACACAGATACCTGTGTGTACATATACCTTCGTCTACTCAACAATATTCCAGCTGTACGGCGGCGGTCTGTAAATAATCGAGTCTGGACCAGACAATCCAGTGATCAACAGCATGAGCATCGATCTGGGAACATATGACATGTGTCAACCAAGCCAGCGGGCCTGACCACCCGGTCCTGTTTGTTGCCTCTTACGACAAGCATGGGTTACTCAAGAGTCATTCTAATCCGGACCTTCACGGGTCCCTTCGTGTACATATACCTATGTGTACATATACCTGTGTGTATAGATACAGGTGTGCTTAGGCACATATGTGTACACATACCTGTGCGGTAGCAATGTCGTCTACAATTGATTTGCTCACTGCAGTGGCCAGCGTATCCACAAGGTCAATAGATTTTTCGAGATCCCCTGCAGAGGAGTCGTTGACCTTGGTAACCTCCTGCAGTTTCTCCAGCACATTCTTGATAGCTTCACTGGACACAGCTCCTTCGGTGATCGAAGCAACCTAAACACAAGAGGTACAACAGCTGACCACTGGTGTGTTAGCATTCTTGAACGGTTTCAGTAAATATCCACGAATGGACATAATTGTGTATCATCAGAGAGGTTCGTTGTTTACCTAACCACTTCCTCCATCAATGATCATAGACGCCGAAATGCAAGAGTTACACAGACTGTTTATTCTTGGTAATATTGTTTTACGATTCCTTTGAAAATCAAAGAAGAAGAAAACCTCTGTATGTTATTATAAAGGTTGGATTCTTCACGAACCACAACCGTTAACAGTGATTGCAGCTATATGAGAAAAGTTTGTTGTTGTTGTTGTTTTTTGTTGTTGTTGTTGTTGTTGTTGTTGCTGTTGTTGTTTAATATTCCAGCTTTATGGCGACGATCTGTAAATAATCCAGACTGGAACAAACAATCCAGTGATCAACATCATGAGCATCGATCTACGCAATTGAGATACGATAACATGTGTCAACTGTTAGTCTCCTCTCTCGACAAGCTGCTGAAGACCAATTCTAACCTGGATCTTCACGGGTTATCTGACAATAACATTGATCAACACGTAATCGTCACGCCACACTTGTATCAAGGACGCTGTTTGACAACCACGCTGTGTTAACTAACCTCTTCCTCTAATTGGGCTATCTCCTCTCTCACGCAGGTTATGTAGTTTACTTCTTCCCACTCACCAGTGACGTCACAGACACGTCGAACGTTACCTTCAAGATTAAAAAAAGGTCATTGCACAAACAGTTTTATCTAATTGTGTGGATACATCCATAACAGATATTGAGGGTTAGTTTATGACCTTCTCTCATTGTGACTCGCAGGCTTGGATCGTCGTTCACACACTCAATCACATTTAATGCTGTCACTTGGACGTAGAACATCTTTCAGGCACTCAAACGCTATTTGTATAGACATTATAGCATAATCTAGCTTCAAAACTATGATCCTATCACTTTCACAAACTTTTAAAAGCAATGCATAAATTTAATAAATTTTAATTTCTCTTTGTATATTTGTCAATTTTGGTCATATTATTATCACTTATTATGATAGATTATGGAAATTTTTGATTTTATACATGTTCCAGTATGCTTCAGGGATTGAAACAGTTTGTCAATTAAATAGACAGAACTATATTTACATTTTGACACGCCACTGACTCTTCGCATGCAACATGCAAACTCGACACAGGTTTTCAAATGTTTAACTGAATGTTTGTCAATGTTATTAATCTCATGTAAGGAGGAGAAGGTCTTGTATATGTTCACTCCTGAAAGGTAATGGTGGTCTCAGCCTCCTTTCTCTTACTTTTTAGGAATGAACAGATATTCGGACAATACATAAATATTATTGATTTTCACCAGCGGTGCCAGGATAAACTGACTGAGGCCTGAATCCCATTATCGCACTTAGTATAATCCTTGGTTCCTCTGTACCGTATCGATAGTCCTGCCGCAATGGCAAACTACCATGAACCACAGAAAACTACGTTTGTAACGAACACCCTTATAAATGAAAGGCGGATATTACAAAACAATGTTTGACTGAACCATTTACTGCATAACGTAGTGCTTATAAACTACTACACCTATAACGTACTACGCCTATAACGAACTACGCCTATAACATACTACGCCTATAAGGAACTACGCTTATAAGGAACTACACCTATAACGAACTACGCCTATAACGTATTACGCTTATAACGTACAACGCCTATAACGTACTTCGCCTATAATGTACTACGCCTATAACGAACTACATCTATAACGTACTCCGCCTATAACGTACTACGCATATAAGGAACTATGCCTATAACGAACAACGCCTATAACGAACTTCGCCTTTAACGTACTACGCCCATAACGTACTCCGCCTATAACGAACTTAACCTATAATGTACTACGCCTATAATGCACTCCGCCTATAACGAACTACGCCTATAATGTACTACGCCTATAACGAACTTCGCCTATAACGTACTCCGCCTATAACGTACTACGCCTATAATGTACTACGCCTATAACGAACTACGCCTACAACAAACAACGCCTATAACGTACTACGCCTATAACGTACTACACCTATAATGAACTACGCCTATAACAAAGCTATGCCTATAACGAAGTACACATATAACGAACTACGCCTATAAAGTACTACGCCTATAACGAACTACGCCTTTGACGAGCTAACTTCAGTGGTTACTGTGAGTTCGTTATAACAGTAGTTTACTTCGCTCAGCACTCACACATTTTACTATTTAAGGCTTTATGCCTCTCCTTCACAAAGGAAATGTAAGTTCAACAATGCATGTTATAACACATAGAAGTCAAATATCATCAGCGCTTTCCATAACACCTCAACACACAAACCTTGAAATTCCCCAGGACAGGGCAGCACCATGGTCGTATTTCCAACAGTCTGAGGCCACTCTGTTCCTCTGGAGTCTGTGATTTCAGGGCACAGCTTTTCTACAAGCAGTTATATTGAATTTAATACACTGAGGCCATACCTACTAGGGAAATATATATTAAGTTAACACTGCAAAGAGATTACTACTGAGAGGTTGTTCTTACACACCCGTGGGTGAAAACCCATGTGAGAAAACAGGTATCACACATATGTGTGAGATCGATTTCTAATCCCGTGAAAAGCTACTCCGTGGTGATGACCAACTCGCTCGTTAAATACGTTTTGACACAACTCGTTGTAAGATAAATGGTATCTGACAGACACTCGTTTAGTAATCTCTATTTCTCAACAGGTCAGACAAACATGAGAAACATTACACGCATGTTGTCAGTATTGAAAATTACCACCAAATCAGCCATCTCATTTATTAGGTACCGGCCAGTTCATTACCGTCTCGGACACTGCTTCAGGACATACAGTAGTTTTTCTTTTACTCCATAACAACAAAACAATTTGATAGGTCTGCTTGTTGTTCGCCGCACTTATCAATAAACCAGCTTCATGACAATCGTCCTTAAATAATCTCTGTACAATCCAGTGATTGATGTTATGAGCACTGATCACCGCACCTGGCATATATTGACATGCATAAAAAAATCAGCTGGTCAGACCAGCCTCTATTCGCCTCTTACGACAAGCATGGGCTGCCGAAAACTAGCAATCACTGGTTGCTTTAACAGGGACCAACTGGATTTCGATAAGGAGATATTGCCATTACCTCCTGGCTTGATGACAACCAGCGTTGCTGTTTCTGAGCAGTTGGTGACACCACACATGTAGTCTCCAGATGCGTCAGCTGACTTCAGCATCAGCCTCTCCATCCCTTCTCTCACTCTCACGAATTTCGATTTGTCTGGTAGAAAAAAATATAACGGTAAGCAACCAGACTGATTGCACTGCCACAGTGTTGGGCAATATAACACCTACCACTGTATGGAAACATAGAAATTGTAAGCTCCAATAGTTCTTACAGATCTCACTCATTCTATTAATACTTTACCTCAGAGACAACAATGGCACAAATATACATGCCAAAGAACCATTAACTCAAACAATTTATATTTTTACATGTACTTCCATGCTCAAAACTGGAAACTGAATCATGTTGGCAATTGATGCCACGAGATTACAAATGTCATGTACTCTTTCTAATTAATGTTTACTTGTCTCTGGAATGCGGTAACCCTGGTCAAACTAATATGAGCAAAAGCAGTATGACCAGCTTTGGAATGTCCGTTAAAAAAGACCATGTTCCATTGTACATCAAAAGTAATGAAATAGAGACATCCAAGGCTGGAACTGGTCGACATAAAGAGACATTTTATGTGCATATTCGAAACAATGGATGTGCGATGTCAATTATATCCTGAAGTTAAAGACTTAGCTGAAGGCCTGTCAATATACAGATGCATATGTTAACAGCAGATTCAGGATTATGTGTCTGGATTGAGCGTCATTGGGATGAGGCAGTATACAGTTACAGGGATATTTCACATTCATTTCCACATGATCACACATTTAACACTGACCTATGATGGATCCACCTGGACGGCACCAGACCAGACTAGCAGGGATCGTCTTCAAAGCACCTGTGTTGGTAACCTTGCAGGTGAGGTTCCTCTGATCACCTTCCTGCAGGGACAGAGTAGACGGGAACAACGTCACTGTCGGAGTTTCAAACACCTGGATGGAGAAGGATATCTCCCAAGATGACTCATCCACTGTAGCCTTGCAGGAGTAGTTACCTAGAATATAGAGAGATGTAGGACACATATTATTGACTAGGACGAAAAAATACGTGCTAAACAAGGATTGTCTGGCAACCGAACATTTATTCATTATTTTGTCAGCTTTCAGAGATACATATGTCATCGAGGATCTGGAGGATCTGAAGGACACAAAAAAATGAATCATCACCTTTGCAACATATGCTGATCATTTCAAAATATTGCTAGGTAACAATGATTTATAGCAGGTTTAACTGGAAGTTGAACCAACACAATAGAAAGGTCAATCCTGAGGCTTGCAAGATTTGTAAGGTAACATTTTCACAACAGGTCCATTGTAACCATTGGTAAGGAATTAGTAACTAAGAATCCAACAGACATCAGTAAGATAAGTGACTGAATAAACACGATGGAATAACAAAGGAAGTAAATTTACTCCAAGACGTTTGTCTTGCATACCTTTATCGCGGCGCAAGATTGGCCTAAATTTCAGCTGAACAGAAAAAGAGTGAGGTTGACGTCGAGTTTGGTAGAGTATTCTGTCAGAAGGTTCAGAAGGTGAGATCAAGGTATCTCCTTTCTGGCAGGTAACAGCGAGATTTGTGGAAGGCTGAAAGATACAACCGACCTCTACTGCTGTTTCGCCACTGATGTACGTCTGGTCCGTCTGATTGCACTTCCCTGTGATGTTCGCTGAAACAAAATTGTGTGGATGCTGTTTAACCCAACAGTCAGCAATATTCTGTTTAAGCACGGCTGCCTGTACATAATTCGGGGAGGACCAGCAAACTACTCTCAGATATCTAAATCCATGACATTGGGTGTGCAATGCATTAACTAATGCCAATTCTTGTCCAATAATCCTCACAAATATTCAAGTGAGATGAAGCAGGCTTTCAGTGTCTGTAACCGTGTCTGTGTCTGTGTTTATAACTGTTTGTCACCGTTTGTTCCGTTTACTATTCCGAAAAAGACTTTTGAAAAGGCTCTCACCAGGATTGATGACTGTTGTTGTAGTTGGCTTTGCAGTCGTTGAAGGTGTTGTCGTTCTCGTACTTGTTGGGGATGTGCAATACCCTGTTGAATATGCAGAATCAAAACATGTCAACTTAATCATGTATGTGGGACGCATCGTCTTTTTATTCCTGTATATTCTATGTAAGCATATTAATCGCGCTAAGAGACCCTTCCAACGTTTTGTTTTACCGTTATGCATGGCTTCTTTTGCAACTACAATTAATACGACGAGATTGGAAGCATATCTGCACATGAAGATTTGTTCCGTACATTTATACAAATCATGAATATTTAACACTGAAACATATACACCTGAAAAAAGCTATGTGCCGAACATAATCTAGAAATGTCTAATATATTGAAGTCACGTTGGAATATGTCTCACATAAATCAATACCCTTAAGGATCCGGGTTAGAATTGGTCTTCAGCAACCAATGCTTTTTGTACGAGGCGACTAACAGGGTCGGGTGGTCAGGCTAGCTGACTTGGTGGACACAGTTCATCGAATCCCAGTTTCGGAATCGATGCCCTGCTGTAGATCACTGGATTGTCTTGTCCATATTCGATTTTGTATAGACCACCGTCATATATTTGGATATTGCTGAGTGCAGCGTTAAACAACAAAGGGACTCACAGGCACAATAAAGTTCAGTGTGCCCAACAAGGAGATTCAGGGCCATTCGAATTGAAGATTCAATTTCACAGGACGTGTCCTCGTCAAATAATCATCAGGGATAGTCTCATTTTTGCAAATAGGGAGAGGGTGAGAAATGGAAAATATCCCAGACGACCATTGAACATCTTGCTTGCTTTGATTTTGCTTTAACCCTGACAGAGGAACCAACCACTATTCAACCCCCAAATAAGTGGAACAAAGTAATGCGTTATATCGCGTTCATGAGTGACTAGATATGGTTTTACGCCACCTTAAGATATATCTCAACAATATCACGGCCGGGATCTCAAGAAAGAGACTTTACATACAGTGCCCATTTGAGGAATCGAACCATGGTTTTCGACGTGACTAGAGAACACTTTAACCACAGGGCTACCACACCGCCCTGCATACGCTAGTCATGTTCTGAATATAACAGTTTCTCTTATTTGTCTGCTCTATTGTTAAACAAGCTTACCACATCGTCTCTCATCGCTCCCGTCCCCGCAGTCGTCGTCTCCATTACACACCAATGTCGAATCAATAGAGCTGGAATTCTGGCACATGAATATCTCAAGAGTTTTGGCTGAAAATATCCCAAAAGTTTTGGCTGAAACAACTATGCAGACAGGAAAGTGATTTTTTCTCGACAGGAGAATATACACTGGAAGCTAAGTGTTGGGGATGTGCAATACCCTGTTGAATATGCAGAATCAAAACATGTCAACTTAATCATGTATGTGGGACGCATCGTCTTTTTATTCCTGTATATTCTATGTAAGCATATTAATCGCGCTAAGAGACCCTTCCAACGTTTTGTTTTACCGTTATGCATGGCTTCTTTTGCAACTACAATTAATACGACGAGATTGGAAGCATATCTGCACATGAAGATTTGTTCCGTACATTTATACAAATCATGAATATTTAACACTGAAACATATACACCTGAAAAGCTATGTGCCGAACATAATCTAGAAATGTCTAATATATTGAAGTCACGTTGGAATATGTCTCACATAAATCAATACCCTTAAGGATCCGGGTTAGAATTGGTCTTCAGCAACCAATGCTTTTTGTACGAGGCGACTAACAGGGTCGGGTGGTCAGGCTAGCTGACTTGGTGGACACAGTTCATCGAATCCCAGTTTCGGAATCGATGCCCTGCTGTAGATCACTGGATTGTCTTGTCCATATTCGATTTTGTATAGACCACCGTCATATATTTGGATATTGCTGAGTGCAGCGTTAAACAACAAAGGGACTCACAGGCACAATAAAGTTCAGTGTGCCCAACAAGGAGATTCAGGGCCATTCGAATTGAAGATTCAATTTCACAGGACGTGTCCTCGTCAAATAATCATCAGGGATAGTCTCATTTTTGCAAATAGGGAGAGGGTGAGAAATGGAAAATATCCCAGACGACCATTGAACATCTTGCTTGCTTTGATTTTGCTTTAACCCTGACAGAGGAACCAACCACTATTCAACCCCCAAATAAGTGGAACAAAGTAATGCGTTATATCGCGTTCATGAGTGACTAGATATGGTTTTACGCCACCTTAAGATATATCTCAACAATATCACGGCCGGGATCTCAAGAAAGAGACTTTACATACAGTGCCCATTTGAGGAATCGAACCATGGTTTTCGACGTGACTAGAGAACACTTTAACCACAGGGCTACCACACCGCCCTGCATACGCTAGTCATGTTCTGAATATAACAGTTTCTCTTATTTGTCTGCTCTATTGTTAAACAAGCTTACCACATCGTCTCTCATCGCTCCCGTCCCCGCAGTCGTCGTCTCCATTACACACCAATGTCGAATCAATAGAGCTGGAATTCTGGCACATGAATATCTCAAGAGTTTTGGCTGAAAATATCCCAAAAGTTTTGGCTGAAACAACTATGCAGACAGGAAAGTGATTTTTTCTCGACAGGAGAATATACACTGGAAGCTAAGTGTTATATATATATATATATATATATATATATATATATATATATATATATATATATATATATATATATATGTATGTACACACACACACACACACACACACACACACACACTTACAAAAAAAACGCAAAGGAAAATAGAAAAAATAGAAAATGTATTAAAGGCATTTAAGTGTACATAAGTCGGTTACATAAGTCAACATAGATGAAGGAAATTCGACACGGAAGAATATATGTATTGTTGTCATTGTCAGCATTAATTCAGTTCACCCACTGCACAGGTGTTGACACAAGTGGGCGTCCAGGTCAGTACCTGGTAACACCACCCCTTGCAGCCATCACTCTTCGCCCTGGAAGGGATTGCGCAAGTCTTCGGATTTTTGCTTGGGGAAATTCTTCGCCATTACAAGTGTCTGAGGACGATGGTGACATTTATGGCAGCGTCGATCAAGTTCGTCACACAGATGTTCAATCGGGTTCAGATCAGGCGATTTGGAAGGCCAAGGAACACAATTGGCGGGCTGTGTTGGGGCGAGCGTTATGTTGAAACAGCTCCCTCTGACGGTTAAAAAGTGGGAGGAGGTGAGGTCACAGGATTTGGTCGATGTAGCGATTTGCTGTAAAATTGCCTTGAACCACCACTAGCTTCGATGTACCCGCCTAGGATATGGCTCCTCAAACCCTGATGCTTTCTCCACCAATTCTGTCCACCTGTCGATCGGAGTTTGGCGCAAAACATTCGTGTTGACGTCGATAGACACGTTGTCTCCCATCCCGTCGGAAGGAGGAAACGCGATTCTTCGCTGAACCAAACGCGTTCCATGCGTCGCCAGGTTCCATGCCTGTATCCTGTTGTACCATTGGACACACACACTTTTCCCCGACTATTTCTGATGGTTTGGTCGGGAATTCTTTGGCGACGTGGGTGAAACACCCGGTTGAATCGTTCTAGAGCAGTATTGGTCGCTATTGACCTTCCACTCTTGGGATGATCTTGGGTCGAATTGAAGCAGGTATATCGATGCCATAATGGAGATATGGTGCTGTGCTGGACGTTGAAGTGTATAGCAACAGCTGAGTGGGACTCCCCTACATCCAAACGTCCAATGGCGAAATTTCGGTCAGTAACATTTAATCTTGACATTTTGTACATTCGTTTACGTTCTAAATTTCGCAATTAAATGAAATTTGTATGTTTAGCCTTTAATAGTCGATGGTTCTACGCATGTGCATTATGTGCAAAACATTTTCTACATACACTTTCAAGCATCACTTTCATTTTTTATGACAGACGTTTACAAACAATTTTTTAGATGCGTTTGTGCGGAATACACAACAACCATGAAATGGCTAATTCAACCGTAAGAATAGTCTAAATGACGACTGCTGTCAAAATATATCAAAATGTACTGCTGAAAACGCCTATGTGTTTCTTTTTTTGAAGAGTGTAGATAATCTCAACATCGTTTCATGATTTTGCATGTCTATTGAGTAATTCGTGAAATCAAGATTTTCATTTTATCCTGTGCGATTCCTTTTTGGAATAAGTGAGTGAGTGAGCGTGGTTTTACGCTGCTTTTAGCAGTATTTCCGTTATATCACGGCAGGGGACACAAGAAGTGGGCTTCACATATAGTACCCGTGTTGTTGAATCGAACTCTTGACGGGCGAACGCTTTATCCACTAGACTACCCCCACCACCCCTCCTCTATGGATGACTGTGCTGCATTTGTAGAATACTTACAACAACTTTTCTCATCACTCTTGTCATCGCAGTCTTGAAAACCGTCACACACAAAAGTTCTCTCTATACACGTTGTGTTCGAGCACTTGAACTCTGAAAATATGTTGATAAAGACACGTTCAGCAAGCAGCAGTTAAGTTAAAATTCAGAAATATTTACTTATTTTGTCTCGATCAAACGACCACAATACAGTCATACCACTACTAACATGAAATAAAAACTATTTGTCACGCAACATCCGTGCTTCCTGTAACAGTTTGTTATAACACGATTTCAATATGGCCGCGACGTTGGGGTAGTACTTGCATTGGTTGAGCAGTTTCTGTGGCGATTTTAAAAGTTCAGAAGATGACATGCTAAAAACGAACAGATCAAATCAGTGGCGAAATAGACGATATGGCGAATTATCGTAAACGAAAGCACTCAGTGAATGTATAGAGTCTTACTGCAAAAAACCCCACAAACTTACTAAAAGAAAAGAAAAGAAACAACTTTCCTCACATTTTGAGGACACATGATGTAAATTTAATAAAAAATCCCAAAGTGAACAAAATGGAACGCCTTCATATTAGCAAAGTATGCTTAGTTAATGAAGATTTATCAAGAAAGATATTTATACATGTATTTATTTAATTGAAAGTGCCAAGTTCTTCCACTGCAAAGTTCTGGTTGTCACTGTAGTCGAAGTATTACCTGTTTCATCAGGTAAATGACACAGGTGTGATAATAGGCCAGAGTATACATCCTGTCAGGGCTGTGGGGGCTTATTTAGCCATATTCCTGTGTAGTCTCAAGGGTAGTCCATAACCTTTAATTCAATTTACAGAACCATTTCTGTATGAAGACAAGATTGGTTTCCATGACAACTTGTATGGAAAACCATTTATTTTGCCACTGCCCCGCAATTCTTGAAGGAAAACTGATAAAACTTTCTCAAGTTTACACCTACTTTGATTTTTTATTGCCAACAAACTTAACAGCGACACAAATCTGAAACTATTACATGGTAAAAGGCGGATCAACATTTGAGCATTATTCAAAGAAGCCAAATAACAGGCCAAGGCCTTAAATGAACAACAGTTTAAAACAGTAGAGTTCCATTCATATAGACGCCTCAGGATGAGTTTGAGTGAGTGAGTTTAGCAATATACTAGCAATATCACGGTGGGGATGACCGCTTTCGAGCACCACTCATGACACCACACACCCGTTTTGTGCGGATATATCGTCAGCAATTTGTGTCAATATTGTTTAGTTGAGGGTCAATATCGGGTTTCAATCGACTTGCAGAAATAACAATAAAGAACTGGTAGGTGTCATGAGTGGTTCTCAATAGGCCCATCATCCATGATTATGGTTACATTAAGTTTTAAACGATTGTCTGCCATGGTAGCATAGCGATCGGCAAGGCAGTCGGGTGGGGTGTACCGAAGTGGATGCCAGTGAAAGGTTCTGGAAACAGTTGTAGTAGTATATACAATGGGGGTTTTGGACCAGGTCCAACAAAACCTCTGCAAAGCCTTATTTGTGAAATAAGGCTTTGGTCGGAGCCTTAGCTCTTGCTACCATTACCCCTACTATAAGAAAGTTTGAGACGCTAGCGGGATACGAACGCCACATGTATACCTCACAACCGAGCCGCTTAACCGACTGAGCTACCGGGGACATGGTTAAAGTTGGTTGGTTTAACGAGTCTATCTTGGGATTGCATCATCAAATACTGGGCTGCGTCTAACGTACCGCTATGGCACTATTGTGTCGCTATGCCACGTTTACCTCAATGAAACAGTTTAATGTGAATCGCCTATAATCTCTTTGGTGTTTGTAATAAAGGCTTGCCAGGCTTTTTGTACTCCCTGTTCTATGTACTTTTTTTTCTCATCCTCACTGATAGCAGATTTACGAGACTTGGATCGAATCTCTTGTCTCATTTTGTTATATTTTGTGAGTTCAGATAGAATTGAACGAAACTCCTCCTCTGAGATCTTACTGTCAGTGAGTGCCGTGGAAATACGCTCACTTACTGTGTTCAGCTTTGCTTCAGCCAGAACCCTGATCTCATCGTGTTTCAATTCCTTACGATGCAGTCTGCGTGATGCAAACTTAAGCGCCAACCCTAACACCCCTGCCACCCCAGCTGTTATTTCAATGCCTAGCACTACGGGGGTAGCCACGATGATAGCTAACAACCCAACACCTGCCGCCCCTAGTCCCATGCTGGTTGTCATAAGGGCAGTATCAGCCCCGTCCACGATATTGAAAGCTCTATGGTACTTCTTACATAGTGCTTTACGCGTGTCACGGTCTTGTTCTAGTTGCCGTTTTACATCACATAACTGTCTCAAGCGGAACCCGTCTACGGTTTCCAGCGTCTTCGCTACTTCCTCTACGACTGGGTACAGACCCATCCTGTGTGCCTATAATATATCTCATTAGATATTTTTTAATTGGGCTTCAGTTAATGACCGTCGAATGTAGTGCAGGGAAATAGGTGAGAGGCTAATAGGTAACACTGAGGTCACACTAACTCCCTTGTAGTGTAAAGTGTCTCCAAAATCCTTTTGGGGATCCATTTGTATAATGAAATGGTGAAGGGGTATGTCGTCACCTCTACGTCTTAAAGGTAGGGAATACCAGGTTATTGTCACCCCAGGTAAAAATTGTAGTTCTGTTCTTTCTTGCGGGGATACCTCGCGTCTGCGGAGATTGAATTCTATGATTACTGTGAAGTTTTGCCTAGCAATCATAAGATCTTGACGGAGATTGGGACCGGTAAACTTTAACTCCTCCCCCCAGTGTGTCTCTAACATGTTGTTCGTTTCATAATGTGCTACCTTAGGACGCATTATATCAGACCCTGGAATGAAATCCCCAAGCAAGACACCATTGTTCTTAATTTTAGAGATATTCCATCTTGGTCTAACGAGATATAAGGTGAGGCGAGGGTAATGTTGAGCAACCACTTGGGTTCTGCCAGAGGCACTCGTGTATACACACGACCTCTTAAGTGTAGGACGTATAAGCCTTCCTTGCCACGCTGATCGAATCCCTCCGTGTCTCCTAGGTCCGCGAGTGTGGGTTTGGGAAGATGATCAGCTATTGCCGCCCGCCTATACACATTGTCTTTTAAGTGTAGGACGTATGAGCCTTCCTCACCAGGCTGATCGAATCCCTCCGTGTCCCCTAGGTCATTAAGCGTAGTGTTGGGGTGATGACTGGTCATTGCTATAATACTACTACGATATAGTTTCCAACTGGTTTTCTGATAATAGTTCAGGGGTGAACTTCACCCCCATGAAGTGTATGTTGGCAGGTAGGAAGATCTTGGTAAGTGATATCGTGTTTTCCACCCTGCAGACTGGTGTTGGAGCCGACACCCATCCATACGTAAACTGTGCAAACTTGATACTGGTGTCGTTTCACCCACCCGAGTTTGATCCCCTTCACGATCTCGACATCACCCTGTGATGGTTCCCCTAGGTAGACTTTGATGATCAGTGTTGAGTTTGCCGTTAGACTCTCCAGGATGTTGACCAAGCCTTCGAATTCAGACACCAACTGCAATGTCACGTTTTGCATTCCCGGTTTACACGATAGCATGTGGGCTGCCATACTGGCCACTGGGCTGATGACTACGCTACGTCTCTGAGTCAGGACGTAAGCCACGAGCAGGGTTCTGTTGTTCACGACTTTGTTTAGGTGGTTGTCTTTGTTATCCGTGAACACATAGGGGGGAGCAGAGCCTAATATTGAGAAACCAGTCGTCTTTATCGGGTAACAACACCCACTTGTCATCTTCGGTGAAGACGAGTGTACATGGCTTGTTTCGGGCGATGGTAGTGCTCTCAACATCGTCTAAGTCGAACAGTTTGCCCCCGAACGATGGGTATATTATCCATTTATCATCCCCGGTGGTGACTAGGGTGTACCGAGTGTTGACTGTCGCTCTTGTGGTATCTACTCCGGCTCCACCGGAGGGGACTTCAACGCGTTTGTAAATGTTGTTTTTCAGTTGCAAGGCGTACAATTTACCATCTACTCCGGGAGTGTCGAATCCGCGTTTGTCCCCAAGGTCGGAGATCCCCACATTGACGCATTTTTTTCACTCCGGGCCCTTGTGCGCTGGTCATTTTATGTGAAGCGTTAAGCTGAGGTATCCTATATTCACGGGTTTATGATTTATATCTAACACCGATATTATCAGCTCAGGTATGTTGCCCTGAGTCAACCTCTTATACTGCCACGGTGAAAACGACTCGGTTCTACCGTCGTTGTATTTCTCCGTTTTCACCGGTACGGCTCTCAGTATAGTGGAAGGGTGACCCCCTTGAATGTTGTACGTTGTGCTCACCTGACCGACATGAATGTACAGCTCTCGGTACAGTACTAGGTCGGGTAACTTCATGCCTGTGACGGTTGTTGGTGGTTTTATCTCGTCAGACGACATACCGAGTGTCCTCGCTAATGGCTGGCCGAGCCTCAAGGAGTTTCTTCCGTTGTTGATTAACACCACTGTGCTGTTTGAGTCGTTCATCTTGAGTTCGGCTCCCAGGGGTTTGAAAACCTCATCGCTTAGAGAGCACACGCTGTAGTAGCCGTCAGTTATCTGGCTGCGAGCTCCACTGACGAACAGCTTATTGTTGCTGGCGTTGATGTTAGTCCATTGCGGTAGGTAGGTGATATCGCAGAGTGCGACTTCGAGTTGACCCGACGTATTATCGATCGCGTGCATCAGCTGAACGGCCTCGCCGCTCGTTATTCCTGGAAGTGTTATGTACATGTTAGAGTATATATACTCATTATATAATAGTTATAAAATGTACTCCCAAGGAGTGTCTTACTCCCCTGGAGTGTTTTACCCTAAACTGGACGTAGATTTCTCGCCCATGAAGATCGCGGTCGCTGATGGGATGTATTTCAACGCCCAGCTTTTAGATGTGTTCAGCCTGTATAAATTTTCGGTCACTAACGCTAAGGTAGTTCATGCTTGGTTCAACAACCCGATGCAGTTCTGGCAGAATCAACTCAACTTCGACGTGTGGTGCGCTACAACGGGGTGTGGCGCGACATTGACCGACACTCGGCGTGGACCG